AGGGCCAAATGCTCCTGGATTTGGCAGCGGGAGAGGCAGAGGAGGCAGGAAGCACATAACTGCCCCTCCTTACTAATGGGCCTTGTTCCCCTTAGCCCTGATGAAAAATAAATCACTTCAAAGGCCTGTCACTTCGATGGAGCCCAAGAGGACATCTGGACCTGACCTCCATCTCCCATTTTCACCAGTTAGCTCAGAGAAAAATGGACATCACGGTAGGGACAAAAGGTGGGTGTGGAGGGACTGGTTTGACCCTCCCGAGGTGAGGGAGCTGAGGGAAGGGGCTGCCCTGGCAGCCCGGCACTGACCGATGCTCCCCACATTGTCCTGCCGTCCAAGAGTGGTGCCGCCCTCCCTATCTCTCCCCTTCCTTCCAGGCCAGGCAGAGCCCTTCCTCCTCCTCGCTGCTTAATGTGCAGGTCGGTGCCGCCGATAACTGTGGCTGCACCGGCCATTTACCTCCCTCTATCCCGGGCACTGGCCATCCTCATCCCTGCGTCCCAGTCTGGCCAGGCCCTGGGCTCTTCCCCTGCTCTACCAGCACGGACAGTGACAGCTCCGAGCCAGCCTCAACCCCGCAGTGCTGCCATCATGGAGAAGTTGTGGAGCGCCGGGACCGCAGCTCTGGGCAAGGCCGGGGCCTGTGGCGCTGCCTTGTGCCCTCTGGTGGGACAAGAGCCCTTCACCCAAGGGTGCTGATGTGGCCCTTGGGGGTCTTCATGCACCAGGTGCCCTGCAGGGGCCTGTGGCGTGAAGCAAGAATCTTGTCTCCCTTAAGGAAGAGGGATTAGAAAGAGAGATAAGAAAGAGGGAAGAGGACTAGAACTCCCATAGTTTTTAGTGGAGCCCTACTCCGTGCCTCAGAGCTGGAGAAGCTGCCCCAGCCTCTGCTGCTCCATTTCAGCTTGGGGCTGGCTTGACTCGGCCCCTGAAATCCTGCTCCGCACGGGCCAGGAGCCCGGCTGGCGGCAGCCCAGGGCTGGGGTTTTGCTTGGACGTCTGCATTGCAGCTCCTGGCACTGGCTGCACRATGAAGGCCTTTTGGTGGTGGCCGTGAAGAAAAACACTGTGCGTGTGCCCACATCAGCTGCCTCTTCCAGCATTCCAGGGAATGAGGCAATTGGTATTACCCACATGTTATAGAGAGGTGACTTGAGACAAATCCTATTTGTACCAAAGTCTCTTTGGGGGCTCCAGGGCTCTTCTAAAGGGGGCCCGTGAAGCCACTGGAAATATGGAACCATGACCCCCAAATGTCCTGAACTCGACAGGTTCAGGATCCTGGGGCTTGATCGGAGGGCTGCTGCTGCCCTGCGTGTGCATGCAGAAACACACAAATACCTGTGTGTTTCTGTGAGGCCGCGGGTGACGTGGGACCCTCGCGGGACGTCCCAGGCTCATGGCCTGGATGGTGGCAGCAGCATCCCCGGACAAGGGTATAAATAGCCAGGCTGGTGACCCAGGGAAGAACTGCCACAGGGGTGAGGTTAGCTGTCAGCAGGAGTGATGGGCACTTTGTTCCTCCAGAGATAACCTGCAGAGGAAAAAGCGTGGAGCCACTTTTTCCCCTTCAAAGCGACGGAAAAAGACCTGAAATATTGGTGTAATGTCTTTGTTCTCTGCTTTATGGCAGCTCCGCCATTAAGTTGTTTTTCTCCATTTCTCATCAAGAACCAAGGTGGGTTAACCCTTAGTCCTCCCACCAGTATCTCTCAAAGGAGAGAGTAAAATACCTCCTGTAGGGCTGGATGCATTTTCTGTTTAACTTTCCACAGAAATCCTGCTTAGTTTTTGCATAAGCATGAAAACCTGGGGCCCTGGGATGAGCGAGAGGCAGCTGAAAATAATTTGGTGGAAACATCTGCATCAGAGACAGGAGTTCAGGGGCTCATTCGTATATGAAACCTGCTGCTTGTACCCACTGCAGGCCCAGGGGCTTTGCAGTTTGTCGCTACTTGATGGAGCAGATCATGGTTGGTCCGTGTTGGTGGCATGGGAGAGATTGCCATCAGATTGTGTCTGTGGCAGCATCAAAACTGTGCCCGTGTGACAAGAGGTGAGGCTGCTCAGGACCACTGATGGGATGGGCAATGTTTTTCCTGGAGATGAAGTTCTCTGCCATGTTGTTTCTGAGCCCACAGTTTCCTAGACTGTTTTCTCTCTCTTGCTTTTTTTTTTTTTTTTTTTTTTTTTATTATTTTTTTTTTTAATGGAGCATCTCTCCCTCTTCCCTCCTCCAGCTCCCTCATTTTTGGCAGGGCAGCCATGCTCTTATTGCCCGCCAAGTCTTCTTGCGAGTCCGTGTTTACCTTGGTTTGGGGCTGTCCACGCTTTACGACCCATTTCCTAGAAAAACGTGCATCAGAAAGCTCAGCTATGGCCCCCCTTCAATCTCAGGCGCTGAGCCACCTTCATCCCCCCCAGGGGCACCCTGTGAAGATGATGGTGGTGGGGAAGAAGGGCTGGCCTGGTTTCAACACGTGCGGGAGGACACGGCTGCGTTCAGCCATGGGTTACGCCACTGCCCTCCCATCTGAAACCAGGTTTAGGTCGTTGCGCACAAAAGGGGTGAGAAAAGGTTTAACTCACCCCTTCCATTCCTCCATCCCTCTCTTCCACCCCTCCTTTTTTTTTCCTGGCCATTTCTCTGGTCAGGGACTTTGCTTACAGGAAATCATTGGAGCCTGTGTGTGTATAAATAGCCTGGCCTGTGGCTGCTTGCTTATGGAATGGCTGGGAATAGGTGAAATCCACGGCTCGGCAGCATCTAGACAAGCCCCGTCTAACGGAGACAGAGCAGCCTTATGAAAGCCTGAGGCTGCAGAACACAGAGGTTTTGCAGTTTCGTTGCTCCAGCTCCCCTTGCAAAAGGTCCTGGGGTTACACGGCCCGGCTCTGCTGCAGGACTCGGGCTGCACTGTTAGGCAGGTCCAAGGGCGGGACGTTGGGCCAAGGGGACCCGTCTGCGCTCAGACCCAACCAACAACAACACACCAGCGGTGCAAAAACTCAAAGAACTTCTCGTTTATTTGTTGTCCTTCAGAAGTCATTCACTGAAAACTCAAACTAAAATCTCTTTTGGCAACTAAAGCCTGAAGTTTGACTAAGAAAACAACAGCATGTTTAAGCTTTGGAAAATGTTCCCCTCTTGCCTGTTTTTATTTTTAAATGCAATGACTTGGAAAGGTCAGAAAAGATTTTGATCTTTGCTAAATCTTCCATTCTGGCACTGAAAATAACGGGTTTTTCTGTTTTCTTTCTTTTTTCTTTTAAATCAAGCAACAGGTTACACTCAAGTCAGGTGGTGGGCACCTTTACCGACACAGCCCATGCTGCAGGAAAGAGTCAATCCCAGTCCAAGGGGACACGGTTGGGTCCCCCTCTTTTGGAGTAGCCTAAAGAACAGATAAAGTCTAAAATGGTAAAACTCTATGCGATGAGTTTTGAAGTATATAAAGTTTTATATTGTGAAGTCTCTATAGAAGCATATGAAACAGAAGAAACCTTCTGCTATATAGCTTATATCTAGTCTTTGTACAATAAATGTTTTGTGTGTGTCAGCACAAATGTAGATTCTATAAGTGTAAAGGCCTGTAACTGATAGACAAATCCCCAAATCAAAGACATCTCAGTTATCAGTGGTCCCTTATTGACCTTTTAATGATGCTTTACAGTAACTGCAGCACTGATGTGGATATTGGTCGTCACAGTACTAGCGAGCAATAAGCACACATCTGCTTAATGACTAAAATATAAATTCCCCAGATGTCTTCAGGAATCCCCTCAGCTTTCTGGGATTTTTTCATGGTTTCTTGGAATTTTCCATTCGCTTTGTAAGAATTGACCAGTGTTTTCTAAAGGATATTGTGGTGCTTTCTAAGAATTTCACAGTACTTTCACACAATTTCAACATGCTTTCTATGAATTTTGATGGGACCTTGGATGAGATTCAGAGGAACTGGATTTCAGGAATTGCTGACTGGTAAGCTTTAATTTACCAGTTGTGAGTGCTGGGATAAGGAAAGAGCGTGAGAAGGAATCACTGCGTTTTCTCCATTTTTCTTTCAAAAGTTCCTACCCTGTCAAGATTTTTTAAACGGAGATTTTCACCTCCCAAGTGCATTGATGAGAGGAATGAGACGTTTTGAAGGGTCTTTGGCACAGCCATTAGTGAAGCAATCTCTTCCTAGTGTCTTTTTCTCCATCGTGTGAGAACCAAGTAGTGAAAAATGGGCAATTTAGCACAGGGCAGAACCCTTCAGCTGCTCGGTGAGACCAGCTTTGGGGGTKTGTGTGATATGCAAGTTATTTCTACAGAGCCCGTGCACTTCACAGATTGCAGYGCAGGGCTCAGCGACGTCCCTTGAGACGCTGCATTGCTGCGCAGTCACAAGCTGCGTTTCAGAGCGCAGGAAAGCTGCGGGCAGCTTTTTAAGCAATTTCTGGGCTGCTCGGGAGGAAAACGGCTGCAAAAATACGGGGTAGGATCACTGGTAACTCTGAAAAAGGAGTTTCGCCCCAAGGAGGACACGGAACAACCAATCCYTAAGCGCAGGGCCCGACGCTGCTCCCGCCGACATGTTGGAACMCCCGCRCCTTCCCCCCCGCCTCCCCGCCCGCGGCTGCGGCGTCGCCCGCCGGCGCCTAGGGGGCGCTGTGCCTCGCGCACCGCCCCGCCTCCGGCCTGCGATTGGCCGTGGGGAGTCACGTGCGGCGCGGGGAGCGGGGCTGCGGTTGCCAAGGCGACGGGAGGAGCCGGGGGCCGCGGGGCAGGTAGGCCGCGGGGCAGGTAGGCCGCGCCCGGGCCCGCCGCGCCCGCAGGAGGGTCCCCGGGGAGGGGGGAGATCCCGGAGGGACCCGCCGCGCCGGGCGGAGCCCCGGAGCCCGCAGGGAGGCGGGCGGGGGGACCCGTCTGCCTCTCAGCGGTGGCGGCGAGCGATGGGCTGGGGGCAGGCGGCGCAGCGCGCCCCTCTTGACCCGTTCCCGCTTGCAGGTTTCCAGCGATGAGGCTCCGCAGAGGCTCCTAGCGATGGGGGATGTCCTGGCGTATGAAGCTGAGTTGCTCGGACTAGTGAGAGAGGTTGGTCCTCCCCCCCTTTTTTTTTTTAACTTATGAAATAAGCTAGGTGGAGCCTCATAGTGTTAGTATTACAGAATTAGATGTGGTAACTGTGATCTAAATTCTTTAGTTGCTTAATKAACACATTATTTGTTGCTCCTGGACGTGGTGCTGACTTCTGCCCGGCATGCTCTGTAAATTCAAACTACTCCACCTCTGTCGAAGGCAGCCAACAGACAACCGCTAAATCGGTCTAGAATTACCTGTCGTTCTTGTAAATGAGGCTCTGTTAAATGGGAACAGGTAACTTGATCCACAGAGAGCTGTAGTGCTCAGGTCTGACCTGTGATACCCTCTGACCAGGTTTAGCTGCATGAAATCACAGAGGCCTCTAGTGCCCTTGCTAATTAAGCCCATACTAAAGTCCTGAGACCACCAACGTGCAAGGTTTAAGGTCAAAGCAGGGTTGTCTRAGTAGGTGCTTCTCTACCATTACTGGCCATAAGAGGTAGGATCAGAAGTTATTTTACAGTAGGAAAATAACTCCATAAAAAAGACTTTGGGAAGCAAGATTTAAAAGAGTTAAACATCTCTACTAGTCTGTGCTCCTGCCTTTCAGATAAACTGGCTAAAACAGGCCATGTATATGATATGGAGCAAGAACACAAGCTGTGACGTGCCTGCTGTTTGATAGTGCTTGTTCCTTTGGTCAGCTCGTGTTCACAGCCCGGCTTAGGGCCTTAAGAGCAAAGCAACATGTAATTTAGTAGTTGTAAGTGGTGGGAGGGAGAGAGAGGACTGTTCATCTCTTTGCTAAAGATCAACACTTGATTTGCTAGTTGTCAATTTGTCTTGCTTAGACACGTTTAGCTATTATGAGTGATGTTATTTAGAGCTGAAACAGCGTGTTTTAGAGATGATGGCAGTATGTTCCTTATGAATTCTGCCGTCTGAGAACAGTGTTTACAAGGAAGTTATTTGCTTGTTTCTTCAACTAAGATGTTGCATTAATAGATTCTAAACCCTTTTATTTTTTGACTGATAAAGTTAACGGATAAATCAGGGAACATTGTTCCTGCAGATTGTCAGTATTATTGTCTAGGGTGTAGGAGAGACCTCAATTGAGACACAAGGTTTTCTTACTGCATGAGATGTCAGTTCCTAGTGTATTTCTGCTCAGTCTTTGGTATTTACAGATTGTGTAACACAGACACTTCAAAGGACTCTGGTGATTCATGGGTCACTCTTGAAAACATTATTAATCTAAATGCTATATTAATCTAAAAAATTATTCTCCTCTCCTTTTCTTGTAGTATTTGGATTTTGCTGAATTCGAAGAAACAGTGAAAGTGTTTGTGAAGGAATGTAAGGTAAAAGGGAAGCCACTGCCTAAATCAACAGGTGCTTCCCTGAGAGATTCAAAAACTTTGACTGTTCAGGTAATACCATTGGCACTTATTTTAAGGAATTAATTTTAAGTAATTAATAGTCAGAACTGTCCACTTACCACCTTTTGGTTTATTATAGCAGTTGAGATTATTTTAAGTWTCTGAAATGATTCTTAATGTTTTGACTGCTAGCAGTCTGCTTTCAGTGCTGGAATATTTTTTATACAGAACCCTACTCCTTTTGAACGTGAAGAAATAGATTTAGTTCACACTATTTTAGCTTGCTATACGTTGACAAGGCTGATTTTTTCAGACGCTGTAGGCACTCATTTTTCCTTATAGCATCATGGACTCCGACACTCATTAGACATGCCTGCAAATTTAGGCTTTGCTCCWTGCATTGATGGCAAATTCAGACTCTGAAATAGATTAAAAACACATAGAAAAAGAATATTTCGGTGGCACTTGAATGATAAGAGGTTTTGGATTAAACTTTAATTGAAGGCCTTCAGATAGCTCTTGAATTCTTCACACTAACGCACTGCTAAAAATCATAGCTCATTTGTGTTCTATTTTTTGTTTATTTTTTTTTCCCCCGRATGCTTTTCCCTTCTGCAGAAAGATCTGCTGACAGCATTTGAAAATGGAGAGCAGAAAGTTTTCTTCCRCCTTTGGAAGGAGCAGATACCGTCTGCAGTTCGAGACAGCGAGCCGGTTGCTCAGAAACTGGAGTTTTATCTCCACATACACTTTGCCACCTACCTCTTGAAACACTCTGTGGGAAAGCCTGTAAGTTTACTTTACAGTTTGAATTTAACATTGCTATTGTTTATTTACTTCATGTGCTTGACGTGGATGAAGATCCTTGGTAGGAATTCCCAGAATTCACATCCAGTCTTTGGGCAGCAGTCTGCATTTTGGATGAAAGCAGGCCCTTRTATTGTGAAGTGCAGCATTGAAATTCATAAGTTTCCTTCTTTGGACCTCTAGAAACGCTTTCTTACTCACATCTGCATGTTGATGCGTTCACCACCCTTAATGATATTCTGTAGGATATTCTTAAAACGTTTCTGTTTTTAGTTTGGACGCAAATCATTTGTTGAGAACCAACTGTTTCTGATAAAATGGGGAAGTTGAATTTTGACCCACTCACTGTACCAAATTTGAAGGTATCATTCTAAATGGTCATAAAACAAAATTTCCATTATATGTGGCTGGGATATCTTAGGTAATACATTTATGAAGAAGAGACATTTAAGCAGTCTGAAGCCATCATATCTGCCAGGCTCCTGCTTTACTCCTGCTTTGCTCCTGTCAGCCATTGCAGAAGTGCTTGGATACCCTCAMTGTGTGTTTTCCAGCTCCTGACTATGGTGCACTATTGCACTAGGATGCAATACTTTCTCAYTGAATGAAAGTTGCTTCTTAGGTTGGCTGTGTTACTTAGATTACAATTATTCKGAGATTTCACACTTAAAAATAATGCTGGGTTTAGATCTCCGATTGATCAGCCGTATTGTGCATTCAGAGCAGTTGTGTTTAAGATAAATGTGTTGCTTTATTTCCCAGGACAAAGCTGAGCTTGAGGAAAGGATTTCACACTTTAAAACATACCTAGAAACAAAAGGAGCTGCACTTAGTCAGACAACAGAGTTTCTTCCCTTCTATGCTTTGCCSTTTGTTCCTAATCCCACGGTACACCCTTCATTTAAAGAACTTTTCCAGGTAAGTATATATATGTATTTTGCAGATTTTTTTTTTTTTTATGGTTTTAGTTTTTTTCTCGCTGGGTAATTGATATTGAATGATGTTTAGTTTAGTAATGGCTTTTATTGTTTCCTTTAACAGAGAATGTACAATCATAAAATAATATATCTTCTATAAGGAAAAGTTCTAGGAGTGCTATCAGTAACGGAGTACTGGCTTAAATATATCGTATTGTGCCATAAATGCTATGCTGTCTGTATGTTCTCCCCTCCTTCCTTTCAACACCACCCTGAAAGATGCATCCTTCTCGGAATCACAGGTGCACTTGTTTATATTTCTGCTGCTTTAAGATTGTTGCCCAAGTTGCCACATATATTTTTATGTATTGCTGAATTAAAATACAATAGCTAGGCATAAGAAACTGAAGTGTTGCATTTCATGTGGAAGAATTGCTTGAATTTATAAATAATCCTCCTGTAACAGGTAAAGAAAATGTAATTATCTCAATTAAGATAACAAATTCTTGTTTTCTGCATTCTCAGAGACTGAGTGTGTGATTGTGCAGATGCTCTTTGCAGCAGTGGTTTGAAATTCCAAAATATCAGTGAGAATTTTTGTGGGGAGGCTACTGCCACTATCCACCCTGCTGAAAGCTTATTGCTGTAGTTTAAAACCACGCCTTAACTTTTTGGTTACACTGAAAACATCTGTTTGTGCAGCTGTGCTTGGACTGCATCAGGGAACTGATCATATGCTTTACTGCATATGAAAGGGKCTTATATATGTGTACATACTCCAGTGAACATATTTGTACACACAGATTTGTTTGTAAAAGTATGTAAATTATTATATAAAATATTTTGCAGGATTATATGCTTATGTGCTTCACTGCCCTACCACATGAGCAGTTGTGATGGTTCATGTGAGCAGCTGTGGACAGTCACTGTGGCGGGAGGGAGATCTCCTTTGTCTGCGTTGCTGCCAAGTGCTTTTTGACATCAAATGAAGGCTTAAGTGATACTTACCCTGGGGTTGACTTTAGRCGTACCAGCTGATGAGGAGCTCCAGTTAACACCAAAAAAGGCATATACTGCCATTTTCCTTTGGGACTAGTTATAAATAATGAGGCGTGTTGGTTGATCTCAGAGACAGGACATGAATATGCTTTTTTTTTTTTTAATTATACTTAGCAGCTTTTCTTTCTGAATGCCTTGTCTTTGACAAGACTGTCAGGTTTATTCATAGTAACTCAGTATCGAAGCTTTCAGTCTAGTCACTCGTTTTCTTGTGGGAACTGTACAACTTGAATCCCCCTTAGTCTTGGAGCACAGATTGTTTTGTGAGTGGGAAAGAACAGCAGTAGGTCACTAATCTACTAAGCAATGTACTTGCAGGGTTTGTTTGTTTATTTGTGTTTGTTTTTTCCTTGGATGTCTGCTGCTTTGTACAGCAAAGGAGTTTTTTATTTAATATATCTTATATATTGGGTTGTTTATTTAATATATCTTGTAAAAATAGGATAGGCTCCTTTCTTTAAAAATTGTGGTTCCTGTGGTAATATGCAGTGGACTGTTATGTACCATGTAAATGTATACTGAACTGATGAATATGGCAAATGTAATCCCATATGCTCTCCAATGTGGTAAAAGATTGGCAAATTTGAGTTGTAAGAAGAGCTTGCAACATGCATGCTTARCTACATACCTATGTATGTGTTTGTGTGTACAGGTGTGTATGTATAAAATCATGTGTATACACACACAGAGCAGCAGATTCAGGAAGCTCTTGCGTGTAAAAAAATACTACTTTTTCACCTGCTGGCTAGTTTTCCATCAAATGGAAACCAGTTTAAATGAAGGTCTGAAGAAGAAATGAGTAAATGGAGTGCTTCTTAGATGTATTTTTTTTTTTGTAACAGTGTTTTCTCATGTTTAACAGACAATTTATGTCAGACAGAGAGGAAGATAAGATTTCAGGTACCGGGTGATACGTCAGTTCATTTTTCATATGTGAATTGTTTTCTTCTCTAAATCCATTTTAGAAGTGTTTTACACTGACCACTGATGTCGTATCATGACCTTCACAATAGTTTTTGACAAAATGTAGAAGTTCCAGATCTCATCAAGAAAAGATTAATATATTAAAAAAAAAAAGAAATGAAGAATGGAAGATATTTTTTTGTGCTCTGTTAAAGAAAGTGAATTTATATTCATCTTTTTATTTTCTACTCAACTTGCTTATATTTTAAAAGTACTTATAACTTAAAGGCAATTTGTTGCATGTGCCTACAAGACACCAACACTAGTCTGATAGGATTACTTAGAATAGCAGTTTTACATTGCAGTAATGTTACATCATGTTCTTAGAGCTCYTGTCCAGGAATAATATGAAATTCACTTCTAATTTCTCTATGTGTCTGAGTAGTTAGTACCCATATTCACTTCAGTAGTGGTGAAGAATAATCTTTTCACTGCTGTTGGCCACTTTATTTACCAGTGGGGAAGGTTGCTGTGATCCAAATAGTACTGTCAACATAAGTGTACATATTTGGTGCTCAGCTGTCAGCTTTGTTTTTCCTTTCAAGGATTCTTGGACATTGGATTTAAGGACAAGATTGGAAAAGTTCCTGTCTCTGACTCTCAAAGCCAACCAGACGCCCAGGCTTCTCACTGTATTTGTATCCTTTTGAAAAAACACTTTAAGGTTATTAAAATTATTTTAAAGGGGCACTATAACTTATTGGAAGTGGGTGCTGCTAGAATTTATTGCAGAATTGTGGTAATGTTATTGCATTACGTTTTTAGAGTAGGAAATCGCGTTTGCAGTCCACATTCAGAAAAGCTATTTGAATAAGTTGTTTCAATGTATATATGCATGGGAACTCTCATATTTATTATATAGCCATTCCCTTTATTCCCTTGCATAAAGTATAGGATACCCAAAGGCAGCATCCTGACCCAACTTCTTTCTTAGCATTTGTAAAATTGTTAGTCTTTTCAATTAGCTATTTCAGGGACTAGCAGGACTTTTTCCAGGACTTTCAAGCATCATAGAAATTATTGTTTTACTAAGAGCTGTGCTTCAGACTTTATTTTCTTCTAAAAATGTTGTTTAAAAACGCTCTTTTTCCAGGCCTAACTGTGGAGTATCTAGCTGTGTGACAAGATTGCCTTCTCCATTTTTGGTCAGTACAGTTAAGGCAAGGCAGGGAGGACTAAGCTGGAGACTCTGCGTCTTTTTTTTTTTTTTTCTTCTTTTTTTGTTATCTTTTTGGTTTGAGGTGTAAATGTTATTTTCTCCTCCATTCTTGATGATTTGCTAGGGAGTAAGTGAGCAAAAGTGACTACATTTACTCCTATGTTATGGTCTTTGGTGTGGCAATCTGGCATAGAAGACTTGAAGAAAAATTCTGTCTTCTTATTCCTGCCTTTTAATGGAATCATGGACTGGATCCAGACCGAGTCCTCTGTATTTGTTTGTTATAAGGTGCCCTAATCTATTTGCATGTTTTTACGTTTAGGGTGACCGTGTCTTATATGTCAAGACCAGGACTGAATTAAATATCTTCAGAGGCCGAAAAAAAAAGGTCTTAGGTCTTCCTGAAAACATTCTGTACTTGGCTATGTGCCTTATGAGGTTTTTTTTTTTTCTTTTTTCCTTTATTTTTGGATTTCTGTGAAGCATCAGATAGTGACTGCTCTCTGTGACAGTAGAGAAGTTTCGCGTGGTTGGGTTTCCCAAGTGCTTGAGTTTCTTGGTCTGTGTATATGGCAGGAAACACTTACTGAAAGGACATGTTTTCCTGAATTGCTCCTTGCCTCCTACAACAGAAAGAGAATGGACAGTGCAACAAAGGTGAGCGTTGGGGTGTGGAAAGGGTGTCCCTTATGATCAGTAGGTTGTTAGGGGCTATAGCTAAGGGGAAGGTAGACCTAAGCTGAAAGGGAYACTAGAAATGATTTCAAAGGACTTTTTGCCATGCAAGTTCCTTGTCTTAGTAATAGTTATTGCTAAGTTGATGGAGTTAATAGGAGGAAGTCAAGAACAAAAAGGTAGAAGGCTGCGGAGGTTTAGGAGATGTATCATGCGTCTTCAGTATGTTGTAGCATCTTCATTTGGCAATGTACCAGCTTTACTGTATGTCTGGTTCCTAAACCAGAAGGTTAGTCCTGTGCCCTTCRTTCTCCTTTCTCTCTCTCTCTGCAAATGAATAATGATTCTGGCAGGCCATAGGCTTAGTGCTTTTTTTTTTTTTTCTCCCTCACTCTGTATAGGCTTAGCATTTATAAGCTGGTTGTGGAAGTCTTTTGTCCATGCTGGGAGCTATACCTGGGATAGAGAAGGGGTGAGAAACAACCAAATGTCTCACATTCCTCTGTGTTTCCTTCAAGGCGGCAGTTTGATCACTGCTGCAAGCTGACTTAGATGCGAATCACCTCTGAAAGCCTCTCCCTATTCCCCTATCCTGACCCAGACTGCAATAATTCAGCATTTTAAGCCAGCAAGGAAATGATTTTACCTGGAGTGGTGGCTCCCTCATCTGGCCACCCAAATGCTGCTGTTGATTTATGAGGATCAGGCAGGAGTCCTCAGAGCAGGAATAGGGCCGTGTGCGACCTCCTCTGTCAGCAGTTGGCTTCTTGTGTCACCAGGAGCTTTATCAACGGTCTCGTTAGCAGTCTGTTTTGGTGGATTCGATCAGGACCCGTGGCTTGACACAACCTCTGTAATTTCCATCAGAGTTTTTGGCTCCCTCCTGGAAAGCCTAAGAACAAAATCATTAGAATGGCTTGACTTGCACTTTGATGCTAAGCCTAAGTCACAAGTCCTGCAGAGGCCCAGTAATGTGGTTAATAACAAAYGCTCAAAAGGATTCCCTTTGAAAGGGGAGCAGCCTGTGTTAGTAAAATATTTGTCTAGATTTTTATACACAAAATTTTGAAAGATTATTCAGAAATTTTGAATAGTGTTATTCTGGCATTTTTATGTCTTTATATCCATATGTTTATTACTTTATGAAGCAATTTGTCAGAAAATAACTTTTCAGACAGTTATTTGTCAGATATTTGTGTATAATCAGCACATCACCTGTAATCTAATTGGATTGCTGTTGCAGAAGGAAACTTGGGAAGGCTCTGCCAGATAAGCCACGAGGCTTATACACTATTTTCACTCTCTGATTTTTACTTGCATGGAAGATTGCATTTCTGTGTTGGCCGTTGGGGAACAGGGCAGGGTTTGTGCCTTGGTTCAGAGAGCAGGGAAGCAGGTGGTTGGCTAAGCACAGTTCTGTTTTAAATAACTCTGCCTGAATTCTCCAGAGCTTTTCTGTTGTAGCTGCATGACGTGCATGATGGCATGGGCCTGCTTATGTTAGCAGACCCACTGTCTGCTCTTTTAAACTGTGTCCTTTACATGTGTGTGTTCCGTGATGTTAAATCTGGCAATTGTATGGCTGAAATTTGTGACTGAAGGAGTTGTGATGGCAATTTCTGTGGGTGATTAAGGCAAGAAAAATAATTGTTCCTGCCATGATAAAATGGAAGTCGTACGGATAGTCTCGAGTTTTCCTTGTAGTAGAGCCAACCCTTTGAATAAAAATCATTCCATAGCAGCATATGAAGTTGTTGTTCCCATCAGAGCAATAAAACTCTGTATTGTTTTTTTTTTCCTTTTCAGTTGAGATGAAGTTATTTCCTTTTTATTCATCTCTTTACAGAAATCTTACAGCAGCTTCATCAACAGTTAGTAGAGTCTGAGCGCAGGACCATGACCTACCTGAAACGATTCAAYAAAATGCAGGCAGACTACCATAATCTCATTGGGGTCACTGCAGAGCTCGTGGATTCCTTGGAGGCCACAGTCAATGGCAAGATGGTAAGAGGCAACTCAGATGTGTACTTGCATTTTTAGGGGAATGACACTAAAACATGAATTAATTTTTATAGTTATGAGCATTTTTGTAACTACTGTATCTCTTTACTGATGAAACACAGTGCTTGGCTGAGAGTGTCTTCCCTTGCTTCTGTGAGCTAAGATAAAGATGTTATAGAACATGGGTTTGATTTTGCTGGCTCAGGTACCTTGTAGAAGCCAGCATGGCTTGTGATATTCCTCTTCCGAGCTTTGTTCTTTGGTCTGCTAAGCTGAATTTATTGCCCTTTATTTATTGGTAAAAGGAGGAACTAGGGTGGGAGAACTAGGGTTGTTCTCTGTGTGAAAAGGGCCATAAATAGTTGTGATTGGAGGARGCATGGCTTTTATGGGTAATTTTCATACAAAGATTATTTTTCCCTTCCTCTTCTGGGTGCTCTGCTAGCCTACCTCTCTCCTGTAACTTCACCGTGACCATTTTTATGGCAGACATTAGTGGCCTCTAGATGCTGTAAAGGGAGCTGTGAATTGCTGGCAGAGAGGATGGCCTTGGGGAGTGAGGCTGTGCTGCCTGCTGACMGTGCACACCACCTGCTGTCACCAACGTGCTGATCTTGGGCTGTGCTACCAGGGGGGCAGGATCACTGGCTGTGCCCTAGGGTTTGACTGTAGGTTTGGATGCTGCTCTACAGCAGGTGAGGAGAGGTGTCTGCTCAGATGAGCCTTGAAACAATAAGAAACAGCCAGTCATTCATTTGCTGCCTCCCATTCCATGCTTCAGTGTGCTTCAGAGCAATATCTTGTGTTCTGTAGTGGACGAATTAGGTTCTGTTTATCTTTTTTTTTGCAGGTGATTGATTGATTTCCTCTCAAAGCCTTATACTGGACAGTCATTCGATGCTTCCCGAATGTGTCCAGCTGATGGTGCTCTTTCTTTATGAACTTCTGTCTTCTGTCACTTTTCTGAATAAAAAAGTGGAATTTGGAACTGAATAAAATCATGTCGAAATTAGAACTTTCTGAATTTGAAGGTTTTGTTATCCCCCTGTAGGATAGGGAATATCAGATGTGTCCCCATTTCTCTTTCCCCTCTCCCCTACATACTTATTCTACACTATGTGGATGCTGATGGAGATCCCAAAAGCTCTTCTGCTGCTGCTAGAGTTTGACACCATGGTACATGTTCCTTGGAAGGACAAGTAAGCTTCATGGCTTCTGAAAACACATTTAGTTTCTAGGAATGGGGTGTCTAGATCCGAGAATCTGTAAATTCATCAAGAGATGCTGAGATTCGAGTGTTTCAATAATCTTGGTCTTCTGACCTCTGTTTTGAAGTCATTGACTAGCCTGGAATTAGACAACTCTACAGTGATAAAGATTTCCAGAACAAGAACAAAGAAACCCTTAAAAACTCTGAGACGTTTTGCACTAAAACAGAGTCCTGTACTGTCTTACGTCTGTTCTCTTTTCTGCCTAATTGAGGGATCTAAGCTCTTCTCTTTATATAGACAACACTTCAGCAGACCCTTGCCTAAGTCTAAAGGGTGGAACTGCTTCATCCTTACTGTAGAACTTATCTTTTTGAATGAAGAAACTGTGTATACAAATGTGACAGTCTTTCTTCTCTGAGAGGAGGTGTTTAGAGTAAGCTGAATAGCTAAATTATTCACAAATGAAAAATACTAATAGTTAACTCCTGAACAAAACTGTAGTTTTGTTGTATAAACCTTGTACTCCAGTCAGTAAATCTGAAATCTGTGGTTTCTAGCCCTTAAAAAGAGAGAAAAAAAAGAAAAAAAACCTATTATGTGAACATTTGACTGATATAAAGTGCAAGTCTTATATAATCCTGTTCTCTTGGTATGTTTCTTAATTTTTAGATCACCCCAGAGTATCTTCAGAGTGTTTGTGTTCGCTTGTTCAGCAATCAGATGAGACAGAGTGTAGCCCACAGTATTGACTTCACGAGACCTGGAACTGTAAGTACCAATATTTGCTCTTTTTGTAGTAGCTATCTGAAAAGACAGTAACAGTTAAGCTATGTGCTGAATATGGGATGTGAGACTTCATGAAAAAGGATTTGAAGTTTAAGACCCATAAGTGATCACTGAAGATTTCTGTAGGCACCACTGTATAAACACAGTACTTGAGCAAGAACCTCAGTCATTGGAAGCTTTTAAAGACCAGGGGAGATGCCTGTACCCTCTATCAGATGCTTGGCTGGACCTCCAAAACGATAGCACAAACTCCCAGGAGCTTTCTCGGCCTTACTGCCTCTGTTGTCTTCTAATAAAAGATGCTTTCTTGGGAAATGGCAGTCAATCCTGTGCCTCATGCCTGTTTACTYCTTCTCCGAAACTGTGTGAAGGTGTGAGTTCTCCGAAAGGGCCTTTGCCACACTAGTTTGRAAACGTGGCCACTTCAGCAAAGTCCTGCACTATGTGGATCAGTCAGAGAAAGAGCATTTGTTGGTAGTGGTTTCCTTGCCTTCCTGGAGGTCAGTTTGTGTCTCTGTTCTGGCTCAAATTAGAGAGGTTAAACTCAGTAGAGCTGTGTTATTCTGACACAGCCATGTATTTTTATGCTAGACTGTGCTAACATAATTGTGTCTGTGTGAGTTTATGGCTCTCCCATGTTCTTTGATGCAGCAACTCCATCAACAGGGCTCTCCTAGAGAGAGATCAGGACAACCAGAGCAGTCAGTTTTTTCAAGGATTCCTTGACTACGTTAAGTCACTTACCACTTGACATTGAGGTTATAGCAGTTACTGGTTGCAATCTAGTGTTGTTTGTATAAGCAAACCCATGTACTTAGGCTGTCTGAGACCTTAGCCAAGTTTGGGAAACAGGGTCAATCAGTCTTCACTGTYTTCACCTTAACTGCATCATGGAAAGATTTCCTGGTCTGATCCTTTTGCTCTGCTGGTTAATAATATTTTCTTTTTTTCTTCTTCCATGTAAAGAACTGTGCTTCTCATGATTATTTTGGATTCTTGAACAGGAAACATAGAGAAGCATAAATATATATACAAGAAAAAATATATAGTTGATCTTCTAAGAAGAAAAATAGAAACATAAATATATATATATTCAAGAAAAAAAAWATATATCTTCTAAGAAGAAAAGTGAGATTCCATTATTATCATCCTCATCCCCAGGTAGTTCTCACAGCTTCCTGGCTTTGATTCAGGAAGCCAGAAGAGACTGACTGAAAACCAGATTCACACAGGCTGCCAGGCTGCTGAACGATCCTTTTGCTGTGGAATAAGGCTGGAGGTGTCGTGGCCCAGGCTGAGCTGTGGCATGAGTTTGCAGTGTCCATGCTGAGCTTGTTCTGCAAGATCCCTTTGCTCTTTAAACTGGTCAGGGATTCGGGCAAGTGGACATTTGAGCTACTCCATTTGACCAGACTCCTGCTGCTGCAAGGATGTCTGTAACAGCAAGGGGAGGGACCAGCAGCTGGGCAGCTCTCTTTGCTCTTCCTTCCCACCAGGTCACAGTGCAGGTCACATAAGGACAAGTTTGGAAAAGAAATTCTGTAGACTCTTTGTAAAGACTTTTTGCAAGCATTAAATATGACTTGACTTTACTTTCACTTTGCCAACAAAATTGATTAAACCTTTGTAGTTTTCCTGTGCTTCGAGTATTCAGGAGTTGATCTTGTCTTATCAAGTTCCTTTCTTCATTATCTTGTATGCAGCTATAAATGTCACTTTTACCTCATGGATGACTATACATACATTTCCTTAAGTCTGCAGTCTGCTGCACGGGTGCGTAACTTGGGGAAGGATCCAAGTTTGGTAGCAGGTTGTGAGGGCAGAAGTTGCTAAAGCTGCCAGTAAGTAACTTCTGCTGTTGGAAGTAATGAGGATGTGCTCGTGCTCCTCACTGGGAGATGAAGATCCCAAGGGCCGGTAGGAGAGGCTGCCTTTTTAAAATTTTTGTCCTTGAGGTATCAAGTGTAGGTATAAGTGTCTACCTAGGAACTGGGTTTAGAAGGAAAAGAAACTGTCATGCCTTTCTACTGCAAAGAGACAATCCTGAGTTATCACAAAGTTACAGGTGTGTAGCTTGGTGCGTAGCTAACGTTGCTTTGCCAGCAAATTGCAGCATCGTGGTCAGAGATGGAGACCAGGGCCCTACTGCACCTCTTGTCAGATCAGTTACGCTGCATTAGTAACTCAAGGATATACTGGGGTGGAGGACCAGTGCTATAGCCAAAATGAAGCATTGCCAAACACAATTAAAGATTATATCTTGGATTATGTCCCTGGTAGCATTTATCTGCAAACTTGATTTTGTTCCCAGTGCATTGTACTTTGTACTTTTTTTTATGTCAGGAAAGTAGTATTGTGTAATATAAAGCCTCGAGGTCTCAGGTTTTAGAATCAGAATAAAAGCAGCAYATATCACTTATTAAGGGGTGCTGTTATTATACAGTCACCTACTTCCTGGTTTGCACTCTGTGGCCGAAGATCTGTCCTGCTGAAAGAGATTCCTTTCAGGAAGAGAAACTCCAGAATTCAGCTTTAAGTCTGCAGCAGTGATGTCCCTTAACCAGRAGACTTTGCCAGCATAATCATACCTGCAAAATCTTGCTTACCAAGCACAGGGCTTCTGTGCCTCGTGCTCTCCTGCAAGCTGGCTTGGATCTCATTCTTTTGTAGAACAACTTTATGCCTCTCAYTTGCCCTGTGACCTCTTGGGTTGGCTTGTGAACTCCCTCCATAAGCCATGAACAGAACGCATCTGGTGTATGGATTGGGGAAGAGGCCACAGCACTGTGGTACAACTGGAAGATATTCTGTGRGCTTCTCTAGGGCCACACCTTACCAGAAACATTGTTCCTGGTTGCARTTCAATGTTATCCCTGTCTTCAATCATGTCGTTTGACATGTGTGGTCTGAATTGGGAGATAAGAGACCTTGGAGGATGGTCAGAGCGAAAGGTCCGAATGTTAGACTAGAAGGTCAAAGCACCAGGTCTTACAAGTTGAAGGAAGCGTCAATGTGAAAGTTGAATGTGATTCTTGGCTTCCTAGTATTCATCTGGACAGGCAACTGATATGGATAATATGGGGTCACTTTAAAAAGAACATGTTTATCCTCTAGCATGGTCTGTTATATCTGTAATACTCTTGAGATGAYTTATGTGAGGTCTTTTTTGTTGCTGTTGTTTTTGTAATAATCATCTGTTTAGTGGCTAGGAAGCAKGGGTTGTAGTCTTTTGATGCCTGCAGCTGTGTAACATGTATCATGAAGTCAAGAGGATTCTGCCTCTTTATCGGTTGGAATTTGATCCTCCGGAGTGTCTTGCATTTGCTCCATATCCATTAGCTCTTACATTTAGTCTTACACCCGTGAATAGTTTTTTGTGATTCAAGTTGGACTGCACACCTTCCTGGAATTTCTTGGATTAGTACTCAAAACATCACAAGACTGAGTTTATGGCTTTTAGCTGAGCAAAACTGGCTGTGCTGCTCCAGCTCTATGTCTTGCAAAAGATGCATCTCCTGTCCTTGAGACTGCTGGTCTTTAATGGTAAACACTTGCACTAATGTGCCATAATTCAGATGTAAAAAATTGTTCTTATATTGATACTAGGCAGGCAAGGCATCAGAGACAGGGCAGGTAAGAGAGCAGGGCTTTCTAAATCACATGAGCCATGGCTTTTTCTAGTTGAGTCTTGAAAACCTCTAGGAATGGGAAAGTCTTTCAATAGGAGGATTTTTCAAAGAGTACAGAGTCCCTTGTGATGAAGTCTTTTCATGAACAGCTCTTGTTAGAATTTGGTCTGCTGACAGTGATTCTAGGCCAMAGATTATTTTCTGTCTGGTTCAAGTACTGTTTGGGAATACAAATATTCTCCTTCCTTTTAACATAAAATGAGAAAAATTCACTCAGAAGAGACTCAGACGAACTGGGGGAGAAATATAGGYTGAAGCTGTAACTGTTGTCCTCATTAGGATTTTTGCCACATGCTAAACAAGGTGAAATGAAAGTCTTCGTTCTTTGTCAGAGTAAGACCCAAGAAGGAAATTCAACTTCTATGTTATTTAAATTACCTGACAAAGCACCCTTTTATAGGCRTTCTAAATGAAAGAAAATCAGCTTAACCTACTATTTTGTGCCCTACTGTATGCAGATTTTATGACAGCTATTCGTCAGTTATTGTAATTTTTCTGAAATGCCCATTTTAAAATACATTCATCTTGAATGCATGATCACAGAAATCTATGCATCACCTAGTGAAAGGACTGTTTAAAACTCAAGATTTCTTGAGTTTCAATAACTTTCTGATTAAGGTAGAAGTTGCAGAAAGTACTTCTTCAGGATGTGCTGGTTCCCTCGGTAGATAAGTTGTGTCTTAAGCACCTAGGAATCCTTCTGTGASTAGAAAGCTATGTAGTTGATCACATATTTTTCCTGTGTTGTGGAACAGAATGMGCTGCTGTCATGTTTTCACTGCTATTTGTGTTTTCTTGCAGTGTGTTTACCTGTAATCCCACTTAATTGTATTTATCTTCCTAGCAAGTTTTAGGTCTCTTTTGGCATAGCTCTTAGAAAGCTTTATATTCTTTCATTGGTCACCAGCCTTTCTATAAAGTTAGATTGCCACTTACAAACTATTTGTAAATAAGATTTTTAAATGCTATTTTTTGAATTTGCTGGGATCTCTTTCTTTTTTTGTGGACTTCAGTTGCATTTTTTTTCCTCAAACGTGCTTTTTATTTCAAATATGACCATGCCATCAAGCTGTAATAGTTGGTGGAAAACATTCTGTTTCTTATTTGTAAAAATATTTTTTGCACCAGGTGTCCACATGAAACCTAGGAGACGTGGTAACAGAAGGCTTTTTATTATTATTGGCCTTTCGGAGAGGATTCACCAAGCATTASGTGGAAGAGCACTGCCCTCTTTCATTTCAAAACAAAATACATGTTGCAGCAAACAGCATCTCTCCTAATTAAACCTTTCTTGGGATGAAATATGTGTCTTCTCCCTGTCTATGGGATGATTCTTGTATGTGACCTCTCATATATGATACTAAAGAAACCAACCTGCCTTTTCATGTAAATAAAAGAAAATTATTCTTTTTTTTTTTTCTGTTGGCACAATATGTGATACCTTTTCTGCACATAACTACTACTTGCAGTGAACTGGCCACCTTCTGTGTTTATATAAAGTCCTGGTCTGTAAAGGTAGGAAGTTGTCATCTGTAGTGGTTTCCGCAAAGTTRCCCTTTTCTGTTCTCAAATTCTTCGTTTAGCATCATCCTTTTCTTGATGCTTAGAGACATTTTCACTGGTTCACATCATGAGTGTGCTTAAACTTCAGTCATGCTCCTGCTTTCTTTTGCTCACTTACTGCTCTCTATCCATGTCTTAAATTTGAACAGTCTTGATCGGGAACTTTGCAAAGCACTGGGAGAGCTTGAATACTCATCCCCAACAGGGATCTTGGGTGACAAGAATAAAAAGAATCATGTCAGGATTAAAAGTTTTGCTAAAGAACACAGGGAATATTATTTCTGACAATGATGGGTAGTGAGGCTCTCGTACCTTCTTTGGGAAGAACAGCATAAAGCTGTATAAAGTTCTTAGGATCCTGTTAAATATCCTGTTTGTTCAGTGATTACTCATATGCAGAAGTGTGTCCTCTAAAGTAAGTATTGGTAGCTTTGTCACACACACAAAAAAAGAAGCAGAATAATGTTGGTTATCTTTCATTGTATTGTACTGTTGTACTGTATACTTATATTTTGAATTAAGATTGATATCAACCTGTTGTAAGTTATATCAGYTAAATATTTAAGTAAAGAGTGACAGCGTATTTGTACTAGACTACGCAAAGCAGGGATTATGCTCAGATTTTATCTTAGGGCCATTTTATAGGTATCTAAATCTTAGGCTTCCTTCCAGAGACCTTGTTTCAGTTTAGCCTTAAAGCATTCTGGAACGAGGAATTGATAACATTGCTGAAACACCTCAGATTGTTGTTCTCAGCTTTCATTGTGTGCTGGTGAGRAACTCCAACCAAAGCAAGGATGGAGAATACTTAGAACTAGTTTCCCAGAAACTGAGGTCTTCTGATCAGTATCGTGTTCGTTAGTATCTCTCCTTCTAACTGCTTTAGTGCAGTYAGCAGCACAATTCATCCGTCTCCATAAATGGGTCAGTGCTTGGTATGCAGCTATTCCAGCTGACAGTTATACTGCGGAACATGCAGACTAGGTATGTTTGCCAAGTATTGGAAGGAGAGCTTGTAATGTAAATGTCCCTAGAGAGTCCCTGATACCAGTCCTAAAGTACATAAGCACATGGAATAGGAGAAGGGGCTTAATACTGTTTTTTTTATTCAAAGCTAGTAGTTTCTTAATCTTTAGCTAATTTTACTTTGCTGTTTTTTTAGAACTGTGCATTTCTCTGTGATTTACTTCCGTTAACTTGTTTTCTTTTTTTTTAATCTTCTTTATTTTAATGTATGCCTGTTTGCCCGTAAAGGGATATTACTCTATGAGCCCTTGTGATGACGAATATGTAAGTGTCTATATCTTTATATCCTTTCACATTGCCTGCTGTATCCTGTCACACTCCATACTCCTCTTCCTTTCACAATGTCTAACAATCTTCCTTGTATTTTAACTTCTCATGACATGAATTATATGATTTATAAAGAGCCAAAAATGTATATGTTTTGGGATTTCTGCATGGGGAGCATAAAAACTGTTGAGTAAACTTAGACCTTCATAATACATGTAACAAAGCATGTCAGCAAAAAAGCAGCTTTGCCACAACTCTTATTTGAAACACAGCTTCTTTATAATATGCAGAATGCAATTGTTTTCTCTCTTCGATTGTCAATGTGGATAGTATATGATATCTTTAAAATGTGCTGTCACTTAACTGATCCTACAACATCTTTGAGTAAGCAGTTAAATAATATTACCAATAAAAACAGAGTTGTACTCTTCTCAGTGGTATATCTTACAATTTTAATTTTTTGATTTTAACTTGTAAAGTGAAACTTTCTCTCCATAGTTCAGGTTATCACACAGTTTTATGTTCTTTCACTGAAGACTGAAGGTCAGTATTTTTCGTGCTGCCTGTGCCTTCTGCAGTCCAGATGGAACTTCGTATTCTGGCAGTATTACAAGTACACCATAAGTATCTGATTTTGCCCATAGTCAGTGCATTCTTTGTAAAGAAAGGAAATTAATCTACTTTTGAGTAACCCAGGATGTAATCAAATCATAAAAGTGATTGACACCTCTTCTAAAAAAAAATCAGTAAATATTCTCCAAAATCATCCGTGTTTTCCCCTTTTTTTCAGGTAAAACAAGATTTCACACTTAAAGAGAAATGATACTTTTTTTTTCAAATTTATTCCTCACCTCAAACTATAGTGATCCCTCTATGCACTCAGCTTCCCATTTAAAACTTTTCTTTGGAGAAATAAAATTGCGGAATTGCTGAATGCAATGGGCTAATTCTTAGTGCTTCTGTAATCTTGACCCAGTGAATACTAGGCACGTTCACCYGTGCTAAGAGATTAAGAGGTCATCTGCATCACGCAGCTTTTTCCCCATTGATGATCATTTTTTATATGCCAGGTAGGAAGCTTTAATTACAGTAGATCTCTAGTATAGCTAAAAATAAATATACAAAACTCCAGCAAATTAATTTGAAACATTCGTAGGTCTTCTTGTAAAATAACTTTGCATAGCTCCAGTGTGCCCCAATGTGCAGATTATGTGAGCTTGGAATTGAACTCATCATAGGCTGCATGTAGCAATTTAGTTGTCATTAGTGTAGWGTAAATGACCTTGATATAATCTTGTGAGGTCCAGTGATTTGTAAAAGCTTCGGCTTTRTGCTTCATATATTCATTGGATACTTTTGATTTTTAGCGATAAATCTGTATTGAATTTAAATTGAATTACTATAGCACCTTTCCAGAGTGGTAACTGAGGTCAGCMTCTGGCTATTGTTTAAAGGCTTCAGCATATTATGAATATATACATCTAATAACATAGAAGAACTGGTCTGAATACAGGGCTGTGATATTTGATAAGATCAGTTGTGATTTTGGCTTGCACAGAAAATGCATTTGTTTTCTTTTACAAAAATTGATCCCTCCCACCCCTGAACTTTTTTGTTTCACTCCATGCTGTTCRTATTCATGCATCACTTCTTTTAAAAATGAAGGGCTGCCATGTGTAGCTAATCTGTGTTGTGACAGAATTACTTTACTTAATATGGCACCTGGTTTGGCTTTGGCAAGAACTAACGCAAACATAAGTCATACCCTGCAATTCTGCCAGAATGAGCTATGCTTGGGCTGTGGTTTTATTTCCTTACTTTAAGACACTTCGTTTCTGCTCGTATTTTAATTGCAGATAGTTGTTTTGTCCCATGATAGGCTTTGCATGAAAATTATTTTAAAATAAAGCATGGATGTAGAGTGTCATGTTTAGCAGGTAAGTTGCATATACAGTATGTTTTTTATGGTCATTCACTGGGAGTTTAAAAAATGCCCATTTTCAAATTGGTTGAATTAGTCTCTAACCTGTTCCAGGAAAGGTAAGATTGGGAAAAGGCCATGGGAGAAAATGCCTTGTTTAACTATCTCCCGAAATCCTTAGAATCCGAGAAAACTGTCACTGAAGAGAAGCATTGTATATTTGGTAAAACTGACTGATTGAGGCATTCTCCAGAGATTATCATGGAAGTTATGGAAGGAAAAAATGCCGCTGATTCTGCTTGATTTTCTCTCTATGGCCTTGCTTTCTTCACCTCAATGAGAAAATTGTAATGTTTCTTTTTACCTCACAAGGACGTTAGGAGTTTATTTGATATAGAGTGTTTTGAGATCTTTGAATGCAAAGTGCTATATATAAAGTATTTAGCTTGGTTGGTTTTTGTCTCCTGAATCCAAATACTGTTTCAAATAACGCAAAAATAGAATTCACAGAATGATTGGGTATCCAAGCTCAGCATTTAGACTTTAGAGTGAACACCAGGAAAGAGAATAAAGGAACAGTGAGGATCAAAACTCAAAAGGCTGAAGTAGGATCTTTTCTGCCTGTCTCGTCTATAGACTTTGTAGACTGTTATAGAAAGCAGCACAAATTGTCATCAGTTGAGACTTGGTTATTCATCTTTCCCTCAAATGTATCCTTATGTGTCTAAAAGTCATTTTAAGACTTCATATTTTGAAGTATATTTGCAACATGTAAATCCATTTTTAAAGTCACAGCTAAAGCTTGAAAAGGACTTGGAGAAGAGGAGAGTTTTGTTATGAATTTTCCATGGAGTGGCTTTATGCTGCTGTTTTTGTTTTCCATGGGAGCAACACGTTGCGAGGGATAAAGGCTGGTTAAGCTGGCACTGCTGCCAGAAGCAATGCAGGTGAAACCTTGGCCTTGGGGCTACCATGCACAGAGATAATGGTGAAGAAAATTACTTTTTTCCTCCGATGGGATTATATGGCTCAACTTGGGAGCACATTTACTTCAGTGAAACAAACCCAACCGCTACCTTACAGGACCCCGATGTATTTGCTGCCTTGTTCTCTTTTTATCCCAAGTAATACACRGGTCCAGAGCTAGAGTTCAACGTAGCTTTTTCTGGTTAAATTTACGTAAAGATATTTAATTAAGCAAATATCCTGTTACTAGGACATCTCAGATGAGTACCAGCGAGGAGAAACAGAAACAAGCAAGCAAACAAAAACCGCACAGTGAAATGTGAAAGGCGGCTCTGAGGCAGCAGGGCCCGGGGCTGTTTGCTTTGGCAGGCCCAACCAGAGGCAATTCGTGACGCGCCTTTGCCCGTCCCAGGTTCACGCGGGGCAAGGGGCCTCGTGAGGAGGGCACAAACGCTGCTGAAGGAATAGGAGCAGCACGTYGGAATTGTAGGCGCTCTGTTTCTTCTAATTCAGAAGGTTTATCGGAAGGAAGCTGTGAGGTTCTCCGTAGGTCGTTCTCCCACAGCTTCATTTCCACCAAAGTCCGTAAACCAACGTTTTCTATTGCCTGGAGCCCTGTTGCCCAACTGGGGAAGTCTGCCAGCCTTAAAAATGAGGCAGGGAGCTTGGTGCAAACCATTATGGTCTGTTGGGCAGGAACCTGGGAGCAGGAGCTGGAGAGACCATGGTGTGAGGAGGGAATTTGAAAGAGCAGCACCTGGTGATGCTGTATTTGGGTCGCTTTTCCCAAAAAGAAAATAACTGAAAATCTCTTTGGACTAGGTTAGCRATAAGGGGACAGTACTTGATGCTGTCCTCTCAGCAGGCTCTGTGACTCTGTTTTAGAGGACATCTCAATTGCCTGTCCAGAAGTAGCACGGCCTCTGAAATCATACTCCTGTAAATCACAGGAGAGAGAAAGGATTGCATATTAATAATAGTAAAAAATATAGAAAAGTAGCAGTGTTTTACTACAGTTCTTCTCTTAAAATTATTTAAAATATGAGCCTAAACGAATTCCAAAACACTTGTAGAAAAGCTGTTACAGTTTTGTGTCAACTGCTATTAACTTATTTTACAGAAATAATTGTTTTCCAGTAACACCAGGAGCCTAAGGAAACGTCTTCACCTTGTCCGGGTCCTAGAGGCCGCTCAACTTGAGCCGAATTAGAACTGGTTGCTGGACAAGGAGTCTCCTCCATCTAAGCGGTCCTGTTCTCAGAGCTCAAATACAGTCTGCCTTGTTTTGTGGTGCCTTTTGTAGGTAGATTATAGAGTGAAAGGTTACTATATATTTTACTAGACTTCATCTGCCTGCTTAAAAATAAATCTGGGAATGAATAGGTCTTTCAGAGTCCTGCCTTGATCTGACTGATTTTGAAAATCTTAATGTTTTCCCAGTTAAAGTTTCTTCAGTTTGAAATTTTAAAAAGCTTGCAAAATCCTACACTTAACCTGAAAGAGTTTTATTTGTGTGGAAGGATGATACATGCATGCATCTTCACCAGTTCTGTGTCCTTTAGTTGAATTTTGGTTGGAACATATGCTTTTCTTTTTAAGGCAGCATGAAAGTCTCAGTTTTCATTATTGTCTTTTCATCTTCAAGGGCCCTGTCATTTCTTTGCTTTAACATATTAGAAAGTCACTTTTCTCCCTGTGTCCTSTAAGGGAGAAAGATGCTGAAGAAGGCAGTAAAAATCATTTGTGATTTCATTGTGTGCTCAGGTACAAGGTGAAAATTTTTGAACAAGGCAAGGACTTTGCTTAAAAAAAAGCTAACCTTGATACTTATCAAAAGTGCTTTAGAGAATGAATATAAATAAGTGAGGGGGGAAATGTTGTAGCTATGTATGCTATTCTGCAAGATTTCTACTGTGTAAAATAAACTGTAACAAGACAGAACTGCTGTCAAGAAAGGTTAATTTTGAAGTGCCTGTTAACTGTCTGTTTTGTACAGGTTCATTCATTCATTGAGTTAAAAATAACATTTTATCCAGCTCACTCACTGAGTTAAACGTAATATTTAATGCCTTTCAGTATGCGTATAAGCTTATTTCACCTTTAAGAGCAGTTCCTTGTGTTACGAAGGATTCCCGTGAGCCTTGTGAAATATGATATGTTCAAGAATGTCAGCCAGCGTAAATCAATATTCTCTGTGGTATTTCATGCCTTTTGTCTTCTGAATCCCTCAGTTTTAAATCTGACAATAGACATTGATTACATAGTTTCCCATGAAAGAGGCTAGGTGAGAGAAGACCAGTTTTAAAGAAGTAAGTGGTAATAATACATTTTTTTTTTTTGAGAAAGTGACATCAACACAAAAAGAGGACACAGAGCGTTCTGCAAATATGACTTGTAGTTGTAATCAGATTGTGTGACGTGAAAGACATTTATGGCAGAATTGCTTCCTCCTGGCTCACTGACAATTACCTATAGACAATATATTTATTAAAGTGAATAACTTACATGGTTTGATATTTGTAAGATCTGGTTTGTGCAAACATGGTGCCTGTCTACTTGTCACAGCACTGCAGACAGGAAGTATTTGGATTTAAATTGAACTAAACCTAGGCAGAATGAGAAATGGTAGGCTATTCCTTGTCCCTTTTGTCTGTACTGGAGTAGATAGCCTTATAATGATGTATTTATAATTTCATATTATATATATTAAAAATATATAAATATTATCTATAAGTATATATATGTAAATAATATGCACATATATAGGGAAAAGAAAGAGAGTGGAAGTTTCCATTTCTCAATGCAGTTTTTCTAGCAAAACAACTGCAGAATCTCAGCGAGAGAATTGACTCTGAACCTCATTAATAATGTTGTTAGTATGAAAATTTGGACTAATCTACTGTGATTTCTCTTTTCTTTCTTTTTGTGATCCAGGCTTCTACCATGTTAAGAGCATCTTTAGCCCCAGAGTAAGTGTTTCTTGTTGAGCTGCATTTTTTATCTGTAGCGTGTGGAAGGAGAGGCAGTAAATCCAAGTGCACTGCTGGTTGTCTGGAAATGGGAATTACTCATTCGCTGTGCMTTGTGGTCTTCCTCTGCTCTCAGGGAATGTCCTATGCAAATGCTGTGTGGTCTGTATTCTTCTGGGCAGGTTTGGTAACATCCTAGTTTTGGTAGGAKGTTGCTAAGGTGGTAAATCTGCCGTTCACACCTGTGACTTGGCTGCTGTATTTGCTTTACCATTTCCGCACAGTGCAGTCCTATTGTTGTAATGTGTTTGCTTCTCACAAATTCAGGAAAAGGAGGAATTGGTAAACTGAACTTTCGTGTGCCCCAAAGTCCATCTTTCACTGATTTAGTAGTTTTTTTGGTCTGTAAGACAGAACAGAGTTTGTATATCTGAGGCAAGGTTGTTGACTTTTTTTTTTTACAAGTTATTTCAAGTCTTGTTACTCTAACTTGGTAAAAGTAATAGTAATTGCAAAGATGTAAAAAAAATGTGGGGAAGCTCTTTTCCTGAAGAAAGAGCCGTTTTGACTCTTTCTTCTTCAGTAATATCAGCAACCTTTGATTAAGGAGAGAGTGAGTTTTGACATGTCTCTTTGCTATTTGCCTTGCAGGAAGATGCAGGACGTGCCATTGTTGCCCTCTCTGGATTATGAGAAGCTGAAGAAAGATTTGATTATGGGGAATGATCGTCTCAAGGCCTTCTTACTACAGGCCCTGCGCTGGGTAAGTGAGGTGGCCTCCACAGAAGCAAAGAATTGAGTCCCTTCTGGAGCAGTCCTGAACTAGAATCCATCTTTTTGACAAGGTGGTTTTTCTGGTGAGCAGGTCAGTAGTATTATAGACAGCTTCTGTCTGACAGTGAAGTTTGCTGGGCTCTTGAGGTTAAGAAAGTTCAGGCAGTAGCTCTGTGTTGTCTTCTCTGTCTGATGAAAGCCAGAGGGAAGCACTGAGATCTTCAGTGGAAATGTCTGAAGAAATGCATACAAACTATCCATATAAGAAATGCCTATCAAAGAGGTGCCTAACTAATCACCATTTTCCTTTATAATCAAGATAGTCTACAAGAGCCTACATTTTGGTTGACTCAAATAACATAATATTGTTTTGGAAAAATAGAAAGTGACTRCAGGAACTTAACGTTTTCCTGTTGATAAAGGAAGTTGATGGGATCTAAGTAATGGACATAGAAGATGATAATAGTGAAATTCTGATCAAGCTTCATTGTCCATTTTTTTACAYACAAAATGTCTGCTGGATCTGATCAGCAGTCGCTTTAGCCCRATACTCTGTCTCTGATGTAGATCTCCGATCTTTCAAAAAGAATATGAGTTCCATATCACTTTCTCTGGTCCATTTCCTTTGTTCTCTCCCATCATCTAGAACCAATAGATTAGAGCTGTTGGGGATATATCCTTCTGTAGTCCTTCTAGTACCTTTTTATGTGCCTGTTGTCCATGAGTTTGTTTGTTTGTTTGTTTGTTCATTTTTGAACCTACTAGTGCTCTCTGCCTCTACAACTTCCTGTGACATCAAATTTCAGAAAGTTGCTGCATGTTGCATATTAAAAAAAATCCCTTTTAAACAGTTTTCATACTGATTTAATTGAGTGCTAGTTTAATTGAGTGTTTCGATGTTGTGGTCAGCACTTCCTCATTTTTGTACATTTTTAGTTGTGTCTCCTTAAACCTTCTTTTTCCAAAACACAGTTGTATTTTTGAGGCTCTGCCTTTATGGCAGCTGCTCCATCTTCTTGATAATTCAGTTACTTTTCTATTCACTTTCTCCAAATCCACTACACCATGTTTTAAAGCTATGCTAACCCATACTCTGCATAGTTTTGCAGCAAGGTTTTATATAAATGTAAAACATGGCATCCTACCTTGTTCTATTTCTGTAACTGTTGAATTTTATGGGAAGTTATGTTGGATCTATCTTCTATGGACACTGACAGCTCCCGATTAACAGTTTTGTAATGGATCACTGAGCTGGGTTCTAGTCGATTCACTTCATCTCATTCTCTTGAACTGATGAGGTTGAATGTTTTCTCCCCATGAGAAAACACTGTGATATCTCAGCTTTTAAAATCTTTCAGTGGTTGTCAGTGTACAATACTGCTCATTTATGAGTGACTGGTTTATTTATGTTTTTATTTATTTCAGCGCTTGACAACGTCATATCCTGGAGAACAGAGAGACACTGTCCTGCAAGCGTACATCAGTAATGACCTCCTGGATTGCCACAGCAATTGTCAGGTCAGCAGAAAGAAGTTTTCCTGCAGGTTGTATTTGATACTGTTCATTTGCTTCTGTGGAGTGCTGATCAGAAACTTGTATTGCTCTGCGGAGAGGAAAGAAAAAAGTAGTAGTGCCAAAATTGTGCAATGTGTTGAATTACTGCATCCCAGTCTTGTAACATGATGAGCAAGGCTTTGCATTATGAGAATTCTCAGTTTAATTTCTATTGGCAGGTGTGTGCAGGTCTTGTAGACATRAAGAAGTCAGTACCAGGCACCTTTCCTGGTTTTTAAATGATTTTAAATGTTACTGACAATTTTTAAGATATCAGTATGCAGTATAATTCTAGTATTTGCTGTGGAAATTTGCTGAAGCTTTTAAAATGGTATAGAAAAAACTTTGAATTTTCCAGCTTAGTGAAGATTTTCTTTTTAAATATTTGCTTTCTTTTTCAGAGAAATGTCTTCAAATTATTACATTCGAAGAGTGAGGTAGTCAGACAGTATATGGCAAGGCTCATTAATGCTTTTGCTTCACTGGCAGAAGGTAACTGCATAAAACATGAGGTCGACTGCATAAGGGGTGATGCTTTCATATAGTGCTTACTCATATGCACTTTACATGTGGAAATTTAGAGACCTTTTTTGGACTATCTTTGTTGCATGCATTCAAAACCATTTTTCAGTAGCTGGAAATATTTCATTTTGACCCTTTGACCCATTTCTCTCTTGGCGTAGGAACTTACACAGGTGGTGCCGTTAATATAGTTTTCAGTCTTTTCATGAGGGTAGTGAGTGAAGTGATGCTTAAAAGAAAAAAAGGAGGAGGCGGGGGTTAGGGAAGGGCAGCCTGTCTCAAATGTTAGCCTCAGGTTGGTGCTTCTGAAGGAACTCGCTTTTGTTAGGACCCTGAATCTCATTGACATTCAGTGGCAGTGGGACACCTACCTTTCCTGAGCTCTTTGGACATCTCTGTGCCTCTGCTAGATACACAAAGCTCTGCAGGAGATTAGAAAGCATGCACTGAAAGTGAACTAGTAGATCCTCTCTGCTATGAGCCGGGGTACTAACTTGATAAGTGGGGACGTCATGCTCCAAGTGACTGGGCTGAATGCAGCTGGCCTTTTAGACCACTCATTTGGGCAGATTTGGGTTTTGGCACAAGACTGTGGCTTGTGAGGAAGAAACTGAGGCCAATCCAGCTTGCTTTTCCAAGGTGAGGAAGCTTTTCTGTCATGGGCTGATATCTCAGCATCTGTTCTTTCATCACTTTTTGCACCAGGTCGTCTCTACCTTTCTCAGAATCCAAAGTTGTTGCGAATACTGGAGGAGAGACTGAAAGCTGAAGACAAGGATTCCCTTACACGGGAGAATGTTCTGGGGGCTCTGCAGAAATTCAGCCTCAGGTGATGAAAGCCCAGCAGGCAGTGGTGACAGCGGGAGAGGAAATGCAGGCTACTTAGGCTCTGTTCAGGGAGGAAAGAAGAGCACTCAATTTTCCTACAATAATCAGCAGAACCTCCAATGACTGATGAAAGCCATGTCATTTATTATGGAGAACTCAGTTTTGCTGATTGAATTAATCTAACTTCCTCACAGCTGTCAATACTCAAGTAAATGTGCATCTCCTGACGTAGCTGTGTGTGCTTTATACATATTCCTTAACGGAGCAAACAAAGTGAAAATAGTACATAGAAAGTTCTTTTTAAAAAAAAAGAAAAAAGAGCTGACTTAAGTTCCCATATGTAAAGCTTTCATTATCTTTTCTGTATGTATTTTTCATGGATTTCATCCTCATCCTGTTGATTTTCTTTTCTGGAGATGTCTGTGTATGGACTGTCTTCTTTCTTATGTTTGCATTGGCAGTCTGACTCAGATGCTGAAACATCACAGGAAAGCAGTAACGRGCATCATGTTTCCCTCATTTGTCAGATAAATATGATCTAGGACTTCTGTTTTCACAGTACACAGAAGGAACCTTCAGTCCTAAATAGTTAACTTAGTGTCAGAAGGTGGATATATGTGTTTAGTTGCTGTCATTTTCCATCTTTTGATTCTAAGTTAGGGACCAGAAGGTGTATTTTTGTTGTTGTTGTCGCTGTTGTTGGCTTGTTTTTGTTCACATGAGAGTCCCTAGAGAAAAATGCAAGTAGATTTAAGCAAAGATCTAAATTGCTTCTGTTATAGCACTTTTTGCTGACTCTCTTTTAACAATTTGAAGGCAATCAACAATGCAGTTTTAGGCAAAAAGAAGAAACTTATTCCAGCCTGTGGATCTCAAAAAGAACCACCCTCCGAAAACACAGAATACCCCCCTGTAAAATCTGCATTTTTCATTTCTTCGGGCTTTGTTAGTTCACTAATTTAATTGATTATGCCAAAAGAGGTAGTTTGTTTGCAGGCTTGTGCATAGTAGATGATTACACAGGGATTAAGGTCCTCATAGTAGCTATCTATGTATTCTAAACCTATTTGTCTTTTTTTAAATCCTAGGCGYGCGCTGCAGTCTGCCATGATCAGAGATGGGCTCATTTTCTGGCTGGTTGATGTTCTAACAGATACAGATTGCCTCTCTGATTACACACTGGAGTATTCGGTTGCCTTGCTCATGAATCTTTGTCTGAGGAGTGCAGGTGTCTTGCATTTCCAATTTTAATTTTATTCCAAGAAGTAGATGGGGAGATTTCAAATCCATTTTTTTCTTTTTTTTTTCTTATTTTATTGAATTATTTTAAGTGGCCATATTTAATAGCAGGGATCCACACATCCAGTGATATATGAGTGCCATAACCAGTGCTTTTGTACAGGTTTCTGGCCCAGGAATCCCAAACGATGGAAGTTAGCGTGACCAAATGTTAACGGAGCCCTCCATTAATTTTGGATCCCTCAAGAATTGTGGGTTTCAGTTATTTGTTTGCTTTCTCAGGAGAGAACGGGGTGTTTTTGTTTGATTGGTTTTGTTTTTTCCYGATTCATACATCAAAATAGCCATTCCTATATCCTAGGCCCACTTTCCAAAGGATATAGTATGCATACTGGTATAAGAGACATGTTTTAGAAAATAAATTCAGAGCTCAGTTAAACAGTAATGGCAAGGAGCTTAAGGTTTACCTAGGGGAATTAAATAACTTGCATACAACACTGCTTTTACAGTGCAGAGATTCTCCCCAAGCAAGAATTAGTCTTGCCTATGCTCTAAAGAAGCTTAAAGAAATTTCCTTTTAAAAAGGAAAACGAGTCAAGGATGAAAAAGTAACTGCTTGGCATAATTAAAGTAATGTCTTTGTTTACTTTTGTTAGATTATTTTTGCATCCTGGCCAAGGTTATATCTGTATAAATCCTGAGTAGATCAACTGATTTCAGCAGAGTTACGCTGAACAGCATTTGACAGGGACAAGGAACAGCATTGTTCCTTCTAAATTAATTATATTTAGGACAGATTTTAAGAAATGAAAAAGAAGCTTGTTCTTGTCTCTCATGTTTTTTTTTTTTTTCAAACACACATTTTCTCTCTTTTCAGGAAAGCAAATGTGTGCGAAGATCGCAAACCGTGTGCTCAAAGTTCTCTCTGATCTTCTTGGCCATGAGAATCATGAGGTATGTGTACAGGAAACTTTGGTCAAGGAAGAGGTAGAAAGAAAAATAAAGAATTAAAGAAAAAAAGCAAGCAAGAAAGAAATGAAAGTAAATTGGTGTCTTTTCCCCTATTAGAGCCCCATTTAATCAAGTTATTTGAAAAATTTCTAAACTGCACAGTGTAATCTAGTTGGACACTGACCTTGCTAGGCATAATTATGTCTGTACACGTGTTGGTAATTGGAAGTGAATGACTTGCGCATCGTYATCATGCAATCCATGTGTATTCTTAATTGCAGATTTGAATGCTATTTAAATGTCACCTTATATTAAATCCTCTCAAATTTAAGTTCATGAGATAAATGATGTGTAGTGCATGCCATTACGTAAAACATTAGATACAAAGCAAATCTTCCAGTAGGCTTAAGCATCATAGCAAAGCAATGGACTCGCATCTAGGCTGTTAAATTAAACAATCTTGGAGAGTGCTAAAATTGATAGTTCATTTCTACCTAATACTTTTCCAGTATATCACCTAAGCTTGCAGTGGTTGGAGTCTGTCTTGAGTTCCTGCTGACACAATTCTTTGTCCTTTCCTTTTTCCTGCATCGCCCTGTCAGAATTTTATGCTACGTTTTCACTCCCTGTTATTTGGCAAGGTTGATTTACAAAAATATATTTTCAGAAAGGGGATAAGGGATAATCAGCACATGGGAGTTCCAATTTAGATCAACCTTACTGCAGTGTATGGGCATCCTAAAAGTTCACTGCTTCCCAAGTGGGAATTTTTGCAAGTGCAGTTCTGTGATCAGGATTTAATAGCTTTGCTTCTTCAMTCCTAAGTTTTGGTTATCGTCAATAAATATGTGAGAATTCTTAGTGGTCTGATTATGAGCAAATATTCCTTCCTCTTAGATACAACCATATGTGAATGGAGCACTGTATAGCATCCTTGCTATACCTTCTGTCCGAGAGGAAGCCAGAGCAATGGTAAGAGATATTGCCTTGCCTAATAAAAGGATCAACATGTGCCAGAAATGGCCTGCAGGTGGGTATCAAGTGAGTGGCAGGCAGCAGGCTGGAGAATTAGGAGCCATGGACCTTCAGGAAGGGAATCCACAGGAAGCAGCCCGCTTTGATACACAAGCAGGTGTGAATATACTCAAAGATTTTTGCCATAATTGCCATATATTCTCTCAAAAGTGAAACCCCAGCAGTGTGAGGAGTTTAGTCTAGATTTTAAATTGAAGGTGTTATTTTGGAGAAGAAAAGTCCATCTAGCAGTTCAGGATCAGGATATCCCTTGAAGATGCTTTCATCTTTCTATTACTTCTTTTCTGAGCCTAACTCACTCTGCATCAGTGAATAGCCTTCTAAGGGTAAAAGTTCTTGCCACATTTATTTCTGCTTTTGTAAAAATGATTTGTTTAGGAGGGCAGCAGCAGGAGGGTCATCTCAGAACTAGGAATTGGCCTCTGTGAAATTAGTCTAATAATAACAAATGTATTTTTGACTTGTGGTTTTAAAGAAGTATATCTGTTTATTTAAAGGACTGATCTGTAGACATATGCAGACTCAACTGCTGTCATATTTTACCTCACAGAATTGTATATAGGGAATTGGATGTCTAGATAAATGAGGAAAGGCACAGCAGCAAGCCTGTAAGAAGCCACAAAGGAATGAAGTATGTTTAGGAGAAGATCAAAGCTGAATTTTACCTACATTCTTTGAACCTTACACAGTGTTCACTGAACACAAATTAGACATTGTTAACAATTTTGTATTGAGTTGAGAATAATTCACTGCACATTATGGGTACTTCAGTATTTAAAACTATAAGCAATACAGAAAATGTATTTTGTTTATGGAAAGTGCATGGGCAAAATTGAATTCTTAGAGCTGGGCACAATGATTTGGTTCATGATGTGTATTTTTCTCCCCCTCCCCTACCCCTGTAAACAAAACAATGTTATTTTAGTGAACAAAATGAAACACTGAGGGTAGCCACGTGAAATACTAATCTAGCAATGTTTTCCACTACGTACAGGGAATGGAAGAAATCCTGCGCTGCTTTATCAAGGAAGGAAACGCAGAGATGATTCGACAGATTGAATTTATTATCAAACAGCTCAATTCAGGTCAGAGGAACAGATGCCACTATCTAAGCTGTAAATCTTTCACAAAAGCCATAAGAAGGCTCATGTTTTTATTTGGCATTAAATTCTCAAAGGACAAAGAACGACAATAGTGTGAAGGTCTGAGAGAGGGCAAATAGCAAACGCCAGGATTCGAATGTCAGATATATTTAGATGTATTTTGAAACGTCCTTTTGTGCTACAACTATAAAGAAAAGCTGCATAAGTCTCAATCCTAAGGAAGGCTTTGGGTCTGTGAACAGCATGACTCTGGCTGTGTCTTTTATGCCACTGGCTTCACTGTAGTGAGAGAATGGTTAAAAAAAAAAAAAAAAAAAAAAAAAAAAAAAAAAAATCACTGTAGAAAAAAAATGGTTAATAAAAAAAAAAAAAAAAAAAAAAAAAAGGAGGGACTTTATCCATCTCTTCTCATCTCACTGTGGAGGAGTGCAGCTCCAATATCTGAAATGACTTATCTTAAATAGAAGGCAGAGACCCCCCTTTTTCTAGGATATGTTGATGGGCCCCAAGGCCTTGGTGATAGCTTGGTAATACCAAAAAACTATGAGGAAGTGTTAATAGTTCTTGTATATTCTGTTCTCTGTGGCTGAAAGGAAGGATGAAGAGAGAGAACAAATGTGAGTAACAAAAAAGAAGTGAATTCAGGTTAAATCCTTTTGCACACAAGAATAGAACAAGTTTGCTTTCTTTTACTTTGACTACAGCAGAAGATGGTGCATCTTATAATGCTAGCATGCAAAAGAACAAATAAAATATTACAGCACCACATTATCCCTGTGCAACATGTACATTCTAAGTTTACGAGGATATAAAATCCCTCCTCTTCTGCGTGTGAGAATGGCTTTTTCAAAAGGGTATGTTTGTCTAGTGAGTAATAGTTGAGTTTCTGGTATAGCCTCCGGGGTTTGCTTCTAGGAAAATCAGTTCATCAATGCCGTCATTGCTATCAAAGTTATGATGTTTTTTCTTTAACTGCTTATTGATGTTTCTGCTTTATTACACAAAAATTAGAATAAAGTATTTCATATGAGTACTACCTTTTTACTTGTAGACAGTTTGATAACGAGGTGCTTGTGGGGTGAAGTAATTATCCCTTATTAAAATACAGTTGGAAAAACAGACAAACTTTTGTCAAGTCTTCCTAGTAAATCTACTGTGAATTTATAGTGAGTTTTATGGGAAAAGAGCCATTCCAGAGTGTTTCTGTTTCTGCCTTTTCCTTGAATATGAATTGACTTCAGTGATGTCTAGAATGCTTTGTAAGAGCAAATAATTCCAATATTTATCCTGAAAATAATGGCATGTCTGTGTAATAAGCTAAATCTTAGTATTGCAGGAGGGACAGTAACTGCATGTTAAGACTGGGATGTACTCTTAACATGGTTTTGTTTTGCTTCTTTCTAGAAGAGCCATTAAATGATAGTGTTGTATCCGATGATGATGAGGAGGAAGARGATGAAGAAGTAAGTACAAATGCTTAGTAGCACCTGTTAGCAAATTCTTTAACATTCTAGATTGAAAATAACAATATGCAAAACGATATTATGTTCCAAAAATTCCTGGGATCATGTATGGACTGAAAAGTAAGCTTATACTAAGTGAGCAAGCTCACAGCAAATGGGTTTTTGACCTGAACTTAAAGAAAGAAAGGAGAGAAAGGAAGAAAGAAACTTAAAGCTCGGCAAGTGGGTTGTCTGCTACCTACTGTACCTTATCCTGTAAGCCAGCTAGTGGTTTAACAGTCATCTGTGCTYTACTGGAGTAGTAGCACTTTGCAGTATAGATGAAATAATTCTAATTTTTGTTAATATGTCTCATATCAGTTGTGGTGTGCTCTGGGTTACTATGGAGTTTAATACCTTTCCAGATCCAGGCAGAGGCCTGACCAGTTTTGCACTGTTGAATGAGCCCTTTTCCATGTCACAGTGCAATAACTATCCCACTTAATACTCTTTATTAACTGATGTTCCCTGGCTTAGTATCCAATGTATCGTGACAATGCAAAGTGGTGATATTTTATCTTGATCTCTACATATCTATTTGAAGGATACTTGGAAATTAACTTTGACCTGTTGTGAAGGTCAAAGAGTTAAGGAAATCTTTGAAAAGTGGGCTTGGCATTGCATTGTGTGATAGTGCCGAGCACTCTTATTCATTTTGTTGCTGCTGTAAATAAAAGGGAGGTTGATTCCCTCATTTGGTCATGTCTACTAGACAAGTTGCTGCTGCTCAAAATCCCAGCCAAAGGTCTAGGTCAAGTCAGTTTGAAATACATTTTTACCACAAATCTATTCTGTGATTATAACAGATTTCTTCACTCATTGCTATTTTTGAGTCAAGTAGCAGTATGTATTTGAAGCAGAGAAATGGCTGATTTCAGTTTTACCTTAGCTTTGCCATTATAKTAACAGGAAAAACAACTACTCTCGGGAGGCAGGTTTCAGAATACTTGCTTCTGGTATAACATTAATTGGAGCAAATTCTAAATGCTATAATTGCTGCTGGGAATTATAATCCCATTCTGTTAATGGAGTCCTTGTCTCTGAATCAGTTACAAAATACAATATATAAACAGAATTGTAGCAGAATGATATGTAAAACTCACAATGTTGTCTTCTTAAATAACCAGAGATTTGTGGACTAGGTGTCTCAGCACTTGAGGCCCTCTCTGTTTTGGAAATGCTGGGAGTTATTGTTTGTTGATGATGTTCTGTGGTAACATCTCATGTTGTCATCTGGCAAGCGAAGGTTTTGGAAAATTTTATCACAAGTCTTGGGTTGCTGTAAGTTTTAAAAAATTACCACAAACAATATATTTCAGAATATATCCTTATATTGGCAGTTGAGTAACATGCATTCAGACTGACTATCTTATAACTTAGTACTGATCAATTTACTACCAATGTTTATACATTTACAACTAAGAAACAACAAAAAATAACYTTTTATCCTGGCTTTTAATTTGCTGTTTTTACTCTGTTTCTTATTGCTTCCAAAGCATTCAGAGATTCCCCATCTTGATGCTATTACCTTTTCTGGATTTTGCTTTTATCTGTGTTTAATTTAGAGTTGTTGAGTTCTCTCCCAGCTTTGAGCAGATCATGTGGTAATGACTACTTTCTCCTAAACACTTCTTGCCAAGATGTAGTTGAGTCTGCTGGATGATAAATCCGGACATTTTAAGAGATCATCGTATGAACAGAAATTTAGGATTCACTAATGTGTCACGTCAGGGCATTTAGCAGTATGAAAAGCCTYTACATGGATACAGTTATTCGAAAGTAAATTGGCTTAGGATTTGTCTGCTGAACTTTTAAGTAGCTTATCATGGAGCTTGGGCTGTGCTGGCTGCAAGGGTATTTGCCATCTGGGTGACATTGTCTAGGTTGGGTGTGTGGCCACTGTCCTGCAGTCAYGGTGCACGATTCCTGGTGCTGCGTATTCTCCTCACTGGTCTTTTAAATACTAGCTTAATTTGTCTTCAATTTGTCTTTACATTTTTGTTTTACTTGGACCATCTCTAAAGTTTGCTTTTATCTCTAAAAGCAAACTGTGACAGTAAATGCCATAGCGACAGTGATACTGTAGCACTAASTTAGAAGTTTCATTGAGAACTTGAGATTTATAGATAAGAGCACGGTGACCATTTCTCAGGTACCCTCAGATCCAGCTATCACTCGGCACCTGGCAATAAAATCTGCAAGCTCCAGTGTGAAAACACGCTTTAGTGAAGCGGTACATTGAAGGAAAGAGGGCTTAATTGCAGACCTTGGGGACATGAAGCCATTAAAGCCCTCGACTGCCAACATCTGCTGCAGCCCGTGGGCGGTGGCGAACAGGGCGCCCTTGTCTTAGGGAAGCAGGGGAACGATGGCATGTTTGACGATGCTCTTTGCTGCAGGAGGAGGGACACTTTGAGGACACCATTCCCCAGTATGTTAAATAACTTCAGGGAGCACGYTTGGCAAGGAGAGGTTCTTTGCAGGAACCAGCTGCATGTTCTCTGTGTGACAGAATGTGGGTGTCAACCAAAATATTGGTTGAAGTGTTACCTGAGGTGGACAAAGCATCTGTGAAGGCAAATTAAATACATCAGGCACACAGATAGTTGCATGAAAGAGCAGGTTGCTGTTTGACTATTTTGTGTTGCTCTCTATCCAGACACGGCACAGCAGACTCCCAGAAAGAATCCCTGGAGAGAAGGGTTAGCTTTGATAAACAGTGGAGGACTAGCACAACACCTAGAAACCCTCCACAGGACTATCTCTAAAGCTCATTTTTGTAAACTTTTATTTAAAAAAAAAAAAAAAAAAAAGTAAATAAAACAGTATATTGTGGAGTTTCGAGGGGAGCAGTTTTGCTTGGGAAAGAAGAGCAATAAATTACTTTTGTGGGTTTGTTTTTTTTTTTTCAAGGTAGAAAGGCATACCCCAAATTGCTGAAAATGCAGATGGGTGTTTTGGTCTCATAGTGTTGTGGTTATGTTCAGGAAAGATCACAAATTGTTTTAATGCATGGCTACTCTATTGTTAGTTACAGTTTCATTGAAATTTGTGCTTTCATTGCTATTAGATGATACTGCTTCGTAACAAGAAACGGACAAGTTTTCTATGAGATTTCCTACCATCTTCTTCCAACCTGAGCTTTTGCAATATAACTTTAAAAATGACTTACCTTATTTGAAAAAAAATTGACTTGCCTTATTTAAAAAAAAATAATACAGAGATGGGCTCCTCTAAACCATCAGTGTGAATGACCAATGCCATCAGAGTGCTTTTCTTTTCTGTTCTGCTCTGTAGGACTAGACTGGCCTGGACAGATCTGTAAAAAAAGGAAAATTCCAGACCCCATAGCAGCTGCTTACCAAGGACAAAGCCTTACATCCCTACAGACCAACATACAGTGTTTTGTAGTGATAATAATGACAGAGGTTTTCCCTGAACTTTTATTAGGGCAAACAACAAACAATTATTTGTGGCTGGAAATGGAAGGAGAGCAACTTTAGAACACCAGCTGTGATTTTTAGCAAATCTGTAGCAAGATTGGTGATTTTCTTTCTCTTGGGAGTCTCTAGTTGTATTTAAGTGAGTTCCTAAGTCTCTGCTTTTTTTGCCTGAAATGCTTCCACATCACTGCTTACATAGGCAGTATTAACAGTCGTTCATCTGGAAAGTGCATGTCATCTAGGTGAATACTAAAAAAGAACTACATTTAAAGCAAAAAATCCCTGGGGCCTGAGCTCAAACAACTGAGGTGTGTTGCCTTTGCAGGAGGACCATGACACCATGGAGGCTGATCTGGACAAAGATGAGATTTTACAGCCTCAACTGGGAGAGCTTGCAGGAGAGAAGCTGCTGACAACTGAGTACTTGGGAGTGAGTATTACTCTTTAGAATCCTGAAATAAATTAACTAACTGTTTCTGGTTTAACTGTTTAACTTCATTAGTTTTATCAGCTTTTAGAATTCTACCTCTTRAGTTTGTTACTTGAAATACCAGGCTCAACAAGCATAGCAGTCCAAATCTCTCATAGGTTGTTAAACTAGATGCTCTCCAAAAGAAGGAACTTCGAGAGAGGGAACTTTACCCCTTTATGAGAAATAGGCAGGTCATAGCTTAATCATAAGCTAAAGCCATCCTTGAGGTTATACTGCTAGGTCCATGGCACTGCATGCACACAAAGCAAAGACCTGAGCAAGGTAATGCTGGGACAGTCTGCTGGTTTGATATAATTTTGACAAAAGTAATAAGTTAACTGTTCCTTCAGTCTTTATGCTAGATCAAGCATTGTCTGCCTTATCTCAAGCAGCAAAAAACTGTGAAGTAAAAAAAAAAAGTCTGTTGCCAAGTCTGGCCACAGTGATGCTAGAACCTTGACCTTAGATGCAGCCTGCAGTGATTGTAAGGATTTTCATTTAGTGACAGTGGGACACAATTTGGTTTCTGAAGCAGTGTTTCCATGCCATATACTGTTCCCAATGACTCCAGTTACTTGTTTTTCACTAAGTCCTTTTTCCCCCTTTTCTCCATTTCCATTAGATAATGACTCATACTCCAAAAACCAAGAAGAAGATGTTCCCTGGTGTCCATCAGAGTATAGATGAGCCTCTGCAGAGACCTGTGACGCCAAGTTTTCACAGAACTGTGTACCCAATGTAAGTCTGAATAAATGAGGCAAAATTGGATTTTTAAAAAAATCTTAAAACCAAAACACAATAATTCAGTGCCTGACAAATAAAATGTCTATACTTGAAAGTGCATCTTGCTATTGTCATTCTTTACAGATCATTTTGAAAAAATAAAGGGTGTGATAGTTTAAACAGAGTCTACTGGATAAGATTGCATACCTGGAATAACTGACTAAATGTTTATTGATCTGTTTGATAAACTTGCATTGTATCCTTTGCCTTCAGAATCCTTTCCTCTTAGGGTATACTCTGCAGGTGAATTGCATGCACTATGTAAAATACCTGGGTTTTCCATTTTATAAGCAAGTAAATCTATTTCTCTAAGGACATTTGCTACCCACTCCTGGGGAAAAAATATAAAAATATAGTGGGGAAGCCAAGAATCCTAATGTATTGAATTTCTTGATTTGGAAAGATGGGGGGAAAAAAAAGAAAAAGAAAGAAATATTCTGGCAGGAGGGTGTGTGACACTTGGCTCTAGGCGTGATTAAACAAAGCCTCTTTTTACCTTTTTTTCTGCCCCTAAGGCACAGTACCTAAGCTCAGTTAAGTGGGATTGCGCTACTTAATATTCCTCTTGCTGTTCCCTTAGAAACTGATTTAGCTGTGAAATCATTAACTGCCTCCCTGGACTGCATCCTTTCTACCTGGAACTGCAGTCTAGTTACCTGCCACTGGGCATGAATTGCCAGGAAAACCTTCAGGGTCAGCCAACATTTTCTTGCACATTTTTCATACCCTTCTTGCTTCCCTTGTGTGTTGTTGCCTATTCCTAAACTCTCTTTACCCTATTCTTTCTGGATTTTATTTTTATTTTTTCTCAATGATCTGCAACACTGGGAAAATCAACAGGTCTACTTTTCTATTCTACGTTTGTTGCATATTGCTTTCTGCAAAGCAGAGTCCTCGTAATATAAAAGAATAAATCTTATATCCTTGCTAAAGCAGAGTATTGGAGACTTTTCAGGCCCACTACTGCAGTCTTTTTCTTAAGTGTCCTGCTGGTTATTGTGTCTCCAGACTCTAAGGAATTATGGTTTCCTTTCCTTGGCTCTTTATTGATGTAGGAAAACATGTTGGTTTCAAATATGTCTGACATCAGCTGGTTTGGGAGAGCTACAGTCRTGCAGTAAAATTATGACCTTAATGCTAGTTTAAATTATTAAAGAGAAAAAAAAAACAAAAAAAAGTTTTAACTTCTTCCACAACATTACAGGTACATAAAAGGTAATTCTCATGTAGTGTTTCAGTCGCTACGAATTCATCGCCCTGCATTTTCCTTTCTCCTCCAGGCCAGAAAACGATGACCTTTCTTGCCATAGGGATGAAAAACTCCAGTCCTTGCCRAGCGATCGCCTTCCCACTCGTAGCAGGAGCAGGTCCAGTATTTCTGACCTCTGCGTTTCCTCCTCATGTAAGGATACGATGTGAATGCTGCTGTTATTTGTGCTGTTGTTTGCTGCCTGAGTGGGGCAGGCRCTGGGGCAAAGCACGTGGGTTGCAGGCTTGTAAAATGTGGCCCTCCCCATGCAGAGCCTGGGGCAGCSTGCAAGACTTTGGGGGCCTTGCACTCTTTTGCCTTGAGCGCAGTGACTGGCTGCAGGAGGGATGTGCGGTGTCCAGAAATCCATGATCTCACTTGCTTCACTCCATCTTGCTTCCTGCGGAAGGGTCAAGGATCCCACCCAGGCCTTCCTATGTGCAAAGTGTATTTTCTTTCACGTGGCAATGTCCTCTGACTACAAGAAGAGCCGCAGCCAAGAGACAGTGCACTTCCCAACAGGCAAGGCTACTTACTCCATCAAATATACCCTTGTTTGGGTCTAAATGAATCACTGTCTACTGGCACCTGCAGGCTCTGTTGGCCAGACCTCTGTATTAAAGTGGAGGGCAGCTGCAGTTATATACTCAGCGCAGCAGCTACAGTCAAACTATACAAGGCTGTGGAGGATGGGAGGCTCTGTGCTGTGTAGCTACATTGTGGGCAATGCTGCTAAAGATTCTGCACTTGCAACAGAAATTAGAATTAGTGCAAACTCAGCTGGGCTTGAGAAACAGGAGATGGGGTTTAAAAGGTTATAAGCTGTGGAAATATTTTATTGCAAGTTCCTGATAACCACCAATTGACTTCTGCTGTGGGAACTTCAACCTGCTTGCAGGGATTCATTAACATTTCCAATTAGGGATTTAAGACAAAGTGGTCTGCAGTCTTGGATAAAGGATCTTCCAGTGTATCCGGCACAGAATTTTTAATAAGTTCAGACAAGGCATGACTTGACTTGACTGAGAAATATGCTTTGAAGCAGTAAAGAGATAGCATACTTTTTTTCTCCATCTCCCTTTTTTTAAATTTCCTAGAGGAAATGAAAAGGATTCTGAGAAAAGTAACCGAGTCTTGCAGGAATCTGCCTGCGTAATGCCCCGAGCTGATAAATAGAATAATGCTAAACAAAGGGCTTAGGATGGAAGCAGATGAAGGTCCTGCTTACGATGTGCACTTGCATTCTCGCTGCTGTGCAGGAATGGGAGCTGCTGCCTCCCAGCCTCACTTCACACAGCAGCGTGTTAAGGAGAGCTAAGTCTCTTCAACAGGGAGATTAGCTGGACAGAGGCAACTCAGAGCTCCAGAGGCTGCAGCCGAATCGAAACCGTGCTGGTTAACGGTTTGGTTACACACAAGAAGAAGAAAATAACGTGTTCCACGTATTCGTAGTTTGTGAAGAAGATTAAGTACCTCAGATATCAAGGGCGCAGCTGTTTGCTGTTTTAAATATTCTGTAGGATAAAACCYTCCTTTGGATGCCGGTTAGGAGAACAAATGCCAGCGTTTCTCAGGGGTCRTGCAGCCACCAGGAGCCCAGCGTGCTGAATAGTGTCTTTCCTGAGAAAGGCGTTCGCTCCCCTCCAACAGCTCCTCCGTGYTGCTGAGCCCGTCTGCTCATATATATTTGGGGGGAGATTTAAATGAGGAACCTGACTAAGTCAGACCAGTAACTGTTGTCCTTCAGGTGTGAAGAAGAAAATCAATTTGATGCCTTTGTACTGAGGAAATTGCTGCCAGCTTTGATGTTTGCGTGATGATTTTCGGAACTTTATTGTAGGCCCGTCTAAAACAACGTTTGGTACTATTTTCAGTCATGATTATATGGAAGTGAGTATTAATAAGGCAACCAGATTATACTTTATCTTGGAATTATGTATACAAAAAGGCAGGTAATTTTTGTGTGTGGCAGTGACATATCCAGGCCCTAGCACATATCCAGGCTACAAAGCAGCACTAAGTTACTTGAAGGGACAGCCTGAGTTTTATTTCAGGCTTCTGCAAGTAGCCAGTGAAATATCTGCTTTCTTGTCTTTTACTGTTTACCTTTGGGTAACAGATACTGCAGTGACCAGTGCAAAGCAGAAAGATGGAAAAATAACTGTGCTTCAGGGGAGTATCATTGCTGTGGAATAGTCCTGTCTTTTTGTCCTCACTGATTGCCTGTTACCCTGTTACTAGGGCTCTGTAGGGAGAGCTGCCAGTGCTTGCATTCCTTTGACTTTAATGAGATGTCAAACGTTGGCTGATACATGTTAAMTGATGATTTTCCTGCTCCTAACCCATTGCAAATGCAAAGTGTAACTGCTTTGAAAGTGGTCCAAGTGTAGTTTACTTTTCAGTTGTGATGGGCTGGAAGCACGTGCAGGTAACTTGGCTCAGCTGGTGAGCAGCAGCTCGCTTCGCCACAGTGACTCAATAGCCTGCCATTGTCTAAGCGTTTCCATCAGGCAGCAGGAGCTGTGACTTAACTGTCTTTCTAGAACGTGGTAAAAACAACTTCTCACTGAATTGTGTTTCTTCTTTAAACAGCAATTGAAATGGAATCTTCGAAGATATTCTCATCAGGCCATAGAATGGACCAGCACATCCCAGCTGTGGACAACGTCCTGTCTTCCCGATCTAMTGAGTTCACCCAAGACAAAGTAAATGGGCTGTCTAATAGGTATGATTTGTCCAGATGAATGTGTAAGAGCACAAGAGCAGTCTGAGGGAACTTACCAGCTAATTCCATGCTGCTGTAAAGACAACCTGTGAAGTCATTTGATGTATGATGCAGTCTGGTGTGAGACAGCTCTGCTGGTGCTTGCCAAACAAAATACCCTTAGCTGTGCCAGTGGCAGCTGTTCAATTTCTAAACATCTGTTCCAGAATGGGAGAAACCTCAAGTAAGACAGTATTAATGAAGATCACATGTTTCCCCATACCATCTTCTGCATGTAAAACTCCCTTATTAGTTTTTTAGATGATGGACTATTCTGTACCTCATGGAAAATATGTGTCAGTAAAGAAAGGTAGAGCCATAGAAAGAGACCAGGAATTAACTTGCAGAATGAAGAGAGCATAAACATTTAAGTGGATTCAGAGTGTTTGTATCTGCTGAGTGAGCACAGCTCACCCGAGGTCCTGATTCATCCACTGGCAGGTACAGTGAGGAAGGTAGTTTCAGCAGTTCTAGCATTGGATTGCAGCTGTTTCTTGAAAGATTGTTGTTGTTGAAGGAAGACCCATTCATACTGTAAGCCCTCTGTCAGGGTTTTGTCATGTATAGGATTATGGTGTATATATTTTGGTTGAGAACTAAGAATCCATTAAGAATCGAACCAAAGTTTTTTCAGGACCCTCATGTATCCRTGAGACATTAACAGCTTTTTCCTATAGCTAATTAAATTGGGCCAAGTTTTAAGCAATGACTGTAAAGAAATTTTAAAAGCAAGTACATTCCAGAAGTAAAACCTAGAATGGGTGGAGATGTGTTACAGGAAAGGTTTTACCAACACTTTATGGATCTGATTTTTCAGAAGTGTCTAGTTATTAATGTCAGTTAAAGCTCTAGCACTTCTGAAAACTGGACTCTCTACTTAGAGCTTTGCTTTTGGCTCACAAGTGACCTTTCTGATTGCTTGTTTCTGGATTGTATTGTTTCCATTGTGAATTCTGATAAATTATCTACAAATTATCACTGGTCTGAGCTGCTTAGTAATCATACCCTTGTCCCAAAAGAAGCATTACTGGTTTGACTTCTGTGTASTGTGTAATAATAGCAGCAAAGCACACACTACAAATAGAGACAGACCATCAGAACTGTATAGCCTTTTTTTTTAAGGATTTTATTTTGGTTTTTTTTTTCAGCCTACAGTCTTTTGTTCACCAATGTATATCTAAACATATATCTAAATCTCACTCATAGATGGGTTTCTAACTGAAGGCACGGATGCAGTGTCCTGCAGAAGGAGATTTTATCTTTTCATTGCCTGCTTCCTTACCATGTGTAAAGCAATTTCTTTTTACAAAAGCAGCCTCAAGTTACGGATACGGGAATGTGGCCATTCACGGTCCAAGCAGAACACAGGGTTTTCTGTGTCAAGGGTGTTTTGTTCATGTGCAGGTTTTGCAATACCTCGACCTGCCTTTTCGTTGTTCTTTCATTCTTGGAGCATACTTCGATTTGTTTGCAAAACAAACAGAGTGAATAAATTCTTACTTTGGTCATAGTTTCACCTACTGCAAGAGGTCTTCCTCCTTCCTAAAACAGGTATGAATGAGAAGGGGAGAGGTGGCTGGTCACTRCTCCCGTTTCCCCTCTTCCTTGAGCGGTACAAACTGCACAAAGTTCAGTGCAACGGCATTTACAGTAAATCACTCCAAGAGAAGAATGAGGCTCTGGTAGTGGCAGGTCTTTTACAGTTGTTGCATATCCATAGGAACAAATGATAGTTGTAGGCAACGTGTGCCAGGCTGGCAGCTGCCCTGCATTGCTCTTGCCTGCTGCGCTCGGATCAGGTACAGATACAGATCATAGCTGAGCAAGGATGGATTTGTGAGTTTACACCTGTGGCTGGCAGAGAAAGCATTTATTTTTTATTGCCTTTTCACGTCTCTTGGCTGGATATTCAGATCCCAGTGGCAGTCTCTTAGAGGCTTTTTAAGAGCCTRTTGCTTCCCTTTTTTCCAAGTATGCAGTTTGGTTTCTTTTCAGTGCAAGGGTACGTTTCTGCCCAGCACCATGGGACGTGGCCACGACGCGTGTTGGTTTTGTTTTATCGTGCTTATTTGGAAATTAGCACACCTTGCCATAAATGACTCACCAATTACCAAATACTGCCAATCATTTTCCCACTAAAGATATTTTTTTCTCCTTCACTCTTCATCTAGTCAAGATAAGGGTTTTTAATAGCACTTCTCTAAGTTACTCTGAGGATTAATTTCTTTTCTGCTCTACGTCCTTGTCAGAGAAACAACACATTATTCTCCAGTGTTCGCTGCCTGCGTATTTCACATAGTACTTTCCTGGAGACTTGCAAAGATGGGAGCCTGTGTTGCTGCCCTGCAGAGCCTTTGTGGTTCCCGTCTGCCTCCTGAGCACCATAATTCTGGTTTTGTTACCTTGCTTTGTCTCCAAAGACATAGTCTACCTGTGTAGGTTGCTATAGTGAAACGCAGCGAAGATTGTTCGTGCTATGAAAACATTTATTCATGAATGGAAATAAAGCTCTAGTGTTTTGTTACTTATTACCAAATGAGGGGAAGCCCTTTTGTGGCTCAAAGATTGCTACAGGGCTGCTGRCTACATACACTTGCTAGGTAGAGCACCAGTGTATTGGAACCYCAGCGCTTGCACCCAAATGATAACACAATAAACATTAATAATTAAACTGTTCTATGGAGAGAGATATTTAAATCTGTTCTATGGGYCTAAAAAGTAGGTGATCTGCAGCTTGGGGTTTTAGCTAACCAATCTTACGTTTTAATCATGTTTTGTTAAGGCTTTTTTTGGCTACTATCTACCACAGTAAGCTTTTAAATGATAAAAAAGAGCAATGCTTAGAGATAGGCAAAAGGCTGCAGAGATGGCCCTGAGCAGACCATTTAGCAGGTCTGTGTGCTTAATAGCTGGCATATACAAATGCAAAATACAGACAATTGATGTTACTTGAACTATAAAAGAAATGTTTGCTGTTGTATCTTGCCAAAAAGAGAAGCTGGGCTATAGAGTGGCTCATCAGCCAGCGCATTCCTAGGGAAAGGAGGGGAGATTAAATGTCTTGAAAATCCTCCTGATCACCCTTTCTGCCAGTCACAAAGGCTGCTTTTGATGGAGCAAATAACAGAGACCTTCCAACTAACATTTTTATTGCCTCTCTTTAGATGGCACCTTTTTGGATYCTCTCTTGCTTTTACTTTTATTTCCTTTTAAGAGATTTTCCTTTAGAGACTTACTATTCCTTGGTAGCCTCCAGTTTCTGTACTTTAGAAAGAAAATGTTGATACTGAGGGTAGGAAAGGGGAATCCGCACACCATCATGGACTAAATTTTAAAGAATGATATTCCTGCAGCAACCYTGTAGTAGACTGTAAAGTAAGAGCAGCTGTTTTAAGCTCTCAGTATGAGCAAGGGACTTGTGTGCTCAGGGAACTTATTTCATGGATGTCATCACAGCTTTTTGCTCTTTTCACAGTAGCCCTGGGAGTTGTAGAAATCTCTGTACGTGGGCCAGGGAGAGTGCCTATGTCTGACARGATTGTGACTGGTATCCAGGAGAAATAATAGGTTTTGTGCCCCAAAAGGATGTCTGATTCCTGACCTGTGGCATGTATATCTGCTTTTTTTGCACCTCAGACCAGTGAAGTGATAATGTGTGTGATAAATGCAATAGAAAGCAGGCTAAGCATCTCTTACTCATTTGTCCACAGTTGCAAGGGACATAACCGGCCTTGTGGTCCAAAGAGGTACTGCCAGTTCATTTGATTGCAGATTAATGTACATGCATTTTTAGGGCTTACTAACTCCTTCTGTCTCTTTCTTCCTACAGTGAGTTTTCCGCAGCTTTTACTAGCAAACCTAAGATCCCTCGCACCCCTGAAGCACAGAGTGCCAGCCCAAGAAAGGGAAAGATCCCCCCCATTGCCCCTCAGTTCTCTCAGTCTGGACCCCAAGAAATGAGCCGCCCCAGTTCGTCGGGATCATCCACGAGGAGCAGACAGAGTGAGTGAAAAGCAACTGTTCTACTTGTCAGTGCTTGGTGTGGGAAAGGAGGGAGCTCTGTAATAGCTCTCTGGGAATTAAATTGTGTGCTGCAAGTGTGCCAGCAGTATATGGCATTGTACTTGTCATCTGCAGGATGCACAACCATGCAGTTATATCCTGCTGAGCACACTGCTCCAGTTTCCACCCAGTCACATGTAGAGAATTTAGAGACATAACTTTTTCCTGTGTCTGGATGGAGAAACCTCCCTAAGAAATTTATGAATTATGTGCATATTATTAGACTACCTTTTACAGATGGGGAAAAATGAAGCCCAGTGAATTAAACCAACGTAGTAAATCTGCAACAGAGCTGGGAATAACTTCCTAGCTGGGAAGTTATATAGTTATATGGGAAGTTTGTCTAGTTATATGGGAAGTTTGGGCTGTGGTGTTCACTCCCTGTTATTCCACACAGCTGCACTTGCAGGGGTGGTTTTGTTTTGGGAATGCAGGTGAGGCAGCAGAAAGGAGTGTCCTGGTGGCCAGGGCAGTTTCTGGTGTAAGGAGTTCTTGCTTGAGCAGTCCTGTGCTAGGTAACACTGCCAATTCTTTCAGCTCCAGCACTGCTGCACATGCCCTGTGTTTCACCTCTGACACTGGTGCTTTCTGTTCCTGGTGATAGGAGCGCTGTTCTCTCCTGACTGATTGTGGTGGTAGCAGCCAAGAGCGTGTCCCTGCTCTCTGTTTCACTTCATTTACAAAAGTGCTAGTGCATTAAAAAGGAGAAGCACTGCTGAAGAATGGAACCAAGCACAGTGTGTGTGTGTGTGTGTGTGTGTGTGTGTGTGCACCCAAAACCTCTTGTCCACATTTGTTAGATTCTCCAGTACAGCTTTATGCTCTTGGGTGTCGGAGATGAGACATAGGCATGTTCTTGTAGGAGTCTGGAATAAGGTTCTTTTCCACTGACACACTATATAACGTACTTTATTTTGAAACAGCAATAAAGCAGAGTGTGATCCATTTTTGTAATCCGTTGAGTTTCTCTGTTGGTCCAGACTCTTGCACTTTCTTGTTTTTGACTTTCATTAGATAGAGTTTGTCTCACAAGGTACCTCTATCTTTGTTGTACCGGTGCATCCTAAAGCTGAATRTACAGTGGGTATCACATCCTATTATGTGTCTGTTCAGTTTTTSTCCATAGTTTTCCATTGAGTTTCCAGGTAACTTTCCTAACTCTCATGATTTCCACAAGACAGACGTGGTTTTGGCAAACAACTGTTAGATGTTTAACTCTTAACTTACTGCTAAAATTTAGCAAAGAAATTAATTTACAAAGAAATTGTCTTTCATACACTCTGCTTCTATGTATCGTATGTTGTTGTCTCCTCTAACCTGTTAGTTACTCTTTTACTTGCAGAGTGATGCACAGGTTTTTATGACTGGAAAAAACCAAGAGGCAGATGTTATGGACCTGATTTTTAAATGACTAGAAAGGATTTAAATGACTTCAGTCCAAACCTAACTCACATTAGCTCAGAGTTAATTCCTAGCTGTCATTTGGGCAGGGAGGCATCTGAAGGCATCAAATGTTTCCCTAGTCAAGCTCTGTGCTCACATCTCTTTCTTTAGACAGATTCTAGTCCCTTATTTTTCTAGCAGACTTTTGTAGATGAGCCTGAAGTTGTATGGGAGGCACCAATACCAGCCATCAGTAGGACTTAACAGTTCCTGCCTGCCATTTGCTTGCTGCATAAGTATTTAGCTTTTTGCATGTCAAAAGAGACTCTCTTTTTGCAATACCAGTTTTAGCTTGTGAATTTCTTGGTGTTCCTGGAAAAGTGCAAATTTTTATAGCTCTTGGACATGATGAGATGGGATCACTTGTTTCACAGACATATTTTTTAGCTTGTTTTTAATGTTGTAGATGTGTTTTCTAGAAACACGTTGCTGCTTTTATGTAAACCCAGTCGAACGAGCTGGACTGCTGCTCTTGGTAGCATGGAATGCCTCAGGAATGCAGAGGAAACGCAGGTACCCGCCGTGACTGCTGCACGCCTGCCTGGGGCCAGATTCCTGCCCGAGGTGCAGCCCACTSTTGTCTGCAGAGCAGTAAAGCTGCACCTTAAAGCAAAACTGAGCTTCTGAAACAAAAACTCACCATTCCTGGGCTTTAGGCTGCTGTTACTTCCTAGCTGGYACAGGGATGACACGTCGTGGTGGCATGAGAACAGAGGTTTGGCTCCGAATCTAGACTTTATTTTAGTTCTGGGTTATGTGCCCCTTGTGAGGATGGGTGAATGATGAAGTCTGCAGAGTGCCCTTAGTCTGAGTCTCTTCCAGTCTCCACCTGGGCATGTGTGATCTAGGACATGGTGCTGCTAGTGTAATACAAAATCCCTACCAGGAAAAGAGTAATTTAGTCTGTCACTGGGCTCTTCTGGCTCCCTGCTCCTCCAGAAGTTCTTTAAGTGTCTGCTGACAAGTGGTTGCTCTAAGTACATTCTGCCTTTTTAAGCTGCAGTGTCTGTGGTTAAGGTGCCTTTGTGTGTGTTCTTCAGGTGCCTTTGTGTGTGTTCTTCATGTTGTTTGTGTCACTCTACAGGTCGAACAAATGTTTCCCTCAGGCAGCTCCTGTCTTGTAATGAATCCAGCTTTTGGCTGACAGGCTCTTTCTTGCTTCTCCTCTGCAGGCAGCCAGTCCTACAGGAAGTGACAACAGTTGCTTTCCTCAAGAATCACCTGTCACRTTGCTGAAGGACAGAGCCAGCTTCCTGTAATGACCTTTACTGGCGACCTGCTTGACAAGAGAGTGGGTTGTTAACATTGCATGTGTACAGCTTGCACAGTGACTCGGGAATTATCTGATGGGATGCGTCTTTTGTCATCCTCGTACCTGGCTAAAACAAGGGCCTTGTTACAATTCAAGTTTGTTACAATGCAACAGAAGCCTGGGACAGGTATGGTAGGGGAATGTGATCCCAGTGTCCCTGGTATTTCCCTCCTAAGAGACGTTGCTGCCTCTTGTTCTCTGCCTTCTGCGTCAGAGTAAACAGCCCTTGGAGATGGTCTGTAGGGGCTCAGCATAGAAGTCTGGCYGAGCAACTGCCTTGTTTACATATTGCTTGCTGAACCTAGCACGTCACATGTGTTTTTTAAAAAACTATTCCCTTGTGAGTGAGCCTGGGGGATATCTGTGTTCAAAGGATCTGCACTGGGAGTTTAGTGTGAGATATGATCTGCATTTAGCCACCAGAGACTGGAGAGAAAGCATTTCATCAATTTAGGATTGACCCATAGCAGGTGAGAAACACCGTGCCATTGCCCAAAGCAGAGTCCTTGCTCACCTCTGAGGATGTGAGGAGCAGCTTTATCTGCAGCTGTTACTCCTATATGTTCTTTCTAGATTGGATTTTTTTCTTGATTTTGTTTTTTAATATTTGTTGGATGAATCTGCCACCTTTCTGATGTATCTTCTTTCAGAGTAGAAGCCATAAAAATCTGAACAGGTCAGAAGCAGCTTTCCCTTGCTGCTTGGTTATGACAGTCCCCTTTGATCTATGTCACATTTTCTGGTGTTCTTCACTTCTGAGCAGTGTTTTATCTTTATGAAATCTGGACTGATCTTCAGTCATTAGGAAATGCAGTCTAGGCAAGAGAGCCCAGGAAGCCCTTCCTTAAATAAAAATCCTGCAGTTAATTCTGCYGGTGATTTATGAAGCCAAAACGGTTTGTTGTTCTTTGTTGTTCTTTCTCTCAAAAGCAGCGGTGACCAGGAAACACTGAAATCTTTATTGACCATTGCCTTTTCAATAATATCCCCTCATGTGACATTGCTGTTAAACCAACAGTAACAACTTTTCCAGAGATGCCATTTGCCTTGGAACTTGGCTGCCACTGGCAGAGGGAAGTGTGTTTGCCATAGGTGGACTTCAAAAGCAAATGTGTTAGCAGGTACTAAAAGAAAAGCTTTAACTTCTCTCTTTTTGAGTTTCAGCTCAAGAAACTAGAAGGCAGCAATATAAAAGCTACTGCAGATAGCACCATTTACCTTYCCCTAGGGGAAGGAGTTGCACAGCTACAAATATTTTCCATAGGACTGGAGGAAAACTTTGTGCCTGTGCTGAGACTTGGGATTGTGCCTATGGGTGTGCAGTGGCAACTGAGTAGCCCAGATGATTTCCTCATATGACACAGTTGCTATGAGGTGGCCTGAGATCAGAGACAAGGTGTGGTTTTCTTGTAGAAATGGATCCTGTCTTGAAGTTGCTGTAACCCTGTTGAATAACAGACTTCAAGTTGGAATCCAGATCTTCTGTAGAGTAAGATAACCCCTAGTTTAAAATCTAGTCATGTTCATGTGAAAGTATTTGGTAATTTCAGGGTGTCCACAGGCCAAGCATGAAGCAGTCGGAGTGTGGGTGCTACTTTAGCTCCCAAGCTGCATAGGACCTGAAGTGACTGAGGGCCCTTGGTAGCCTCCATCCTGTAGATCTCCAATCTAGATAAAGACGGCACAGAGCATTTCCAACCTGTCTTCAGATTCACCTCCCTCTTTTCAAAGGTGCTAAACACAATTAATGGGAAAATGTGCTCCGATTCACAAAAAGGCAGCAATGGAGAGCAGCCGTAAAAGCTCGCTTGTGATTTTCCAGTGCAGCTAGCTTTTATTTTTCCTCTGAAACCATGTATTTTTTCCAGCAAGCCGTATCAATGGCCAAGTTGTTAGCATGGTAGTTGCTGAGCATGTGCATTTGCATATGTGCACATGCAGAATGCCCCAGCAGTTGAGTTTTATTTATTTTATGGGAGTGCTAAGGTGCAGGTGGGAGCAGACCTGACCCTGAGATGCAGAGAGGCTTTTGAGAAGTGTTGAGGGCAGCAACTACTAAAAAAWAGAAATACAGCAAAAAATTCCCACCATACCATGARTAGAGACCAACCAAAGTTGTATCCTTGTAAGTCAGCTAAAGGAAYGTTAATGGGTTAATGGACACCCTGCAAAGATCTAGGTTAGTTTAAAAAAAATAAAATAAAAAAAATCAAACCAAAATGCATCTTGCACAACTGGACTGGAGGGAATAAGCTGAAGTGTGTGAATAAGTGTGTTTGTTTCTTACCTTGGCCTGCTGCAAGGCAGAGCTTCTTACGTACTTTTTTCCATGTTCAGCTCTCAGTGTGAATGTTTGAAAACTGAGTTTGAAAACTGTGAGGCTCTTTTTTATATTAATACTCAAGAAGCTTGTGCTTTCCAAATGTTTGGGATGAGAGAAACCGTGTATGTGCTGCAAAATAAATTATTGCCTGAGCAGCAATTTGAGAGGTGGGCAAGGTAACCTGTCCCTCTTCGTGTCTTTCACAAAAAGCCCCTGCTGTGCCAGCCAGCAGCTTTAGAAGCTAATGAGAAATGATGATATTGTCCTTCTCAACCAGACACAGAAGAGAGAAGAGTCCCTGGGTAAAGGTCAGTGACATGTACACAGTAAATTCTGCATCTTGCTCTTAGATGTTGCTGGGTGTTTTTTTCTATGCTCCGTGCAGAGGCTGCTGCAAGGTGCAACACTACCCTGTTAAATTCGTAATCGAACCAGTGAAAACTGCCAGTTTGGATAGTGCTTTACCCGGCTCTGATCTTGTTTACAAGAAGCAAATGTAGTAATTGCACATGCTACTTGCATCTAAAAGGAAAGATTTTTCTGGAGCCAAAGCGCCAGGTAGTTTGACCACATTTCTTGAATATTGCTTTTCTATATTCAGTCTGATTTTGTTTATGAATAGGGTAATACAAGACACAAACTACCTATGTCTATTTAAATTTGCATGGAGAGCTCAGTCATTCTGTTTAACTGCTTTCAAATCAGCTGGCAGCGACTGGGTGAATATGTTTCTTAAGGGCTTTGCTCGTTTACCTTTTCGATAGGTCTCTTTGGAGCTTGTGGATTTTTAGGGTGTGCATTTCACATTTCGCTACATTATATTATTGACAAATTCTGTTGMCAGCTATTTTATCCGCACCTGAATGGAAAACACGGCTGCCTTGTGCTCAGCCCTCTGCAGTGTGTTTGCTCACGAGGGGTGCAGAGCAGGCGGGAGCCTCACATTGTGTTTGGGCTCTCAGGAGGAGAGCCCGGGTGCGTGGGATGTGTGGGATGCCACCAGTCATGTTGGGTTACTATCAGAGGTGGTATTTCAGGGTGGGTATAGATGTGGAGAGCAGGACACGCAAGGATGTTTGCTGGAGATAAAGTCTTCCTGTGCTGGGGAGGGACAAAGGTTGCTTGGTTTGGTTTGGTGCCCTTTATTTAAAGTTCAGCAGTCTTTAGAAATCATGGTGGAGGTTACAGGGTGGAGATGAAAAGCGCAGCACCGCATTCGTGTGCATCTCTGGGCACTAGCAGCAGTGGTGAAAAAGCAAGCGGGCCACCTTCCTGCCAGGCTTTTAAGTACCCCTGGAGTACTCCTGGAGTACTCCTGGAGAATCCCTGTGATGGAGCCGTGGGGACTTCTCCAGGCCGTACTGCACCTGCAGGAACCTCTGCTTGCTTGTGTGGATTGTTTAAAGAAGGGAGCTGTCAAGGATATGCTGAAGGGTGAGAAATAAAGTGTTTCAGGGTAAGCAGAACCTTAAAATCAAGTTGTTCTACAGACCTTATGGTAATCTAATGGAAATCTAACAGCCGCAAGAAACAAACTTCCGGATGCAAGAATTGTCCTACCTTATCAGGCCAGGAATTTTTCTAGCCTAGCATTTTGATAGTGGCACTGTCTGATGTTTCAGAGCAAGGTTTATCCCATCTCCAGGCTGCTCTCTGTCTTAAGGAGAATGGGCATTACATTCAATTATAGGATCATGATCTAAATTTCCATTCTTTAAGAATGTGATGTCTCCAGACAACAGGCTGAATGGCAAACTCCAGGATGTCTAATAAACTGGAACATGTCCAGCTTTTATTAAAAGTCCTGGCATATGTTCCTAGTTTCCAGGAAACATGCGCATTAATTTATTGCAGTAAAAGTGAAAATACTTCACTTTATGTTCACAYGCAAACTGTAAGAAATCCATTTGAGTCTGTAATGTTCAGTTTATGCTTATCTTTGGCACGTGTAAATGCTACTCTAATCCCTTGAAGTGCAAGGTTTTGAGGAGTGTAAATTACTTTCTTCACTTCAGGTGTGAGTGACCTAATAGTGTCTTTAATTAAAAAGGAAAAAAAAAAAAAAAAAAGAGAAAAAAAGGCTTCCAGCATGTCTTGCTGGTTCGTCTTAAAAGGCTCTGAAGTGTTGCTTCATTTTATTTGTTTTTCTTCCAATGATGCTGCAAGCTAGTTTTGCCAAGTGAGAGGATCAACAGGATAAATAAAGAGGACTGGATGGCTAAAACAATAATATTCATTCTGCTTTAAGGTGCTTTATGTATTAGACTGTTGCTATGAGTGCTGAGACCATCTAGAAATCAAATCACCTACTGAGGGATATTAGAAGGTTGAGGACATCTCCCACTGCTGCTCTCAATGAGAAATTGTGGCCTTTGTAGATCCAGATTTCACTACACACAGGCAGCTTCTTTCTCCGAGGAGTGAAGAAGCTGACCTGACGTGAGGATGGGATGTAAGTGCTGGAAATAGCAGCTGTATGCCAAGTGATACAGTTTCTCATTTGGTGAGAGCCGTGTGCCGGTCTGACCGCCCCAGACCTTGTCTGAATCCGGTTGACTGTTGGCAGAGGCTGAATGCTTCCTGAGAACAAATCGCGTTATTGTTCATGTCTGTTCATGCACTGCCTTTGGGGATCGTGGTTYGTGTTGGTAGCAAAAAGCAGGGCCGTTAGCACCAAATGAATTCTTTGTCAAGCAGCACRTTGGGTGAATTTTTTACCCTTTGCTCCAACTGCTTTCTCTTGRGATGGAAGGTGGAGGTTTATCCCTGGAGCAGGTGTATAATCTTTCCTAACAGACTTAGAGATAACTGCTTTGCTTTTGCAACTTGGCAGATTATGGATTACTATGAAACTGGTTCCTTCTTTCCTCCTTCTCCAAGTGAGCAATCAGGAAGAGAAATGAAGCAGCTCTAGACTTGAGGAAGTTGGTTGAGTTTTGGTCCAGTTGCTTCTGTCCTGAAGGTCTGTGTGAGGTGAGTTGTCTGGAACAGCAGAGCACCCTTGTCCATCTGTGCAGAAGGGGACAGAAATGCGTCATTGGTGACACATTTTGCACATAGATTAAAAACTTTGAGTGGCCAAGTGGTTGCTTCCAGGGCCATAGTTCACAGCTTCCATGTGCTTTGGGGTAGGGGATAGGATCAGAAGAGGGAGGGGAGCACAGCAGAAGGATGTATTTCTCTCTAATGCTTGCAATGTTGGTGACTCTGAGGCTGCTGGTGGTGAGGATGGAGTTTTTGCAAGAGCTTGCTGAGTGTTGCAGGAAGATATGGGCATAAGCAATTGCAAATCTCCCAAATCTTGCTGGAGCCCCCAAGATGCTCTGACCACTGTCGCAGCAACTAAAGCAGAAAAACAGGAAAAAAAGACCAACTAAACCAGTGCTCAGTGCTGTTCTACCCCAAGTTGCCCAGACATGSCAGTAGCAATAAGAGATTTCATCTCCAGCATCCCAGATAGGGGTCTTGGCTGTGAGGTCCTACTCATGCAGTGGACAGTAGGTGCAAGGCTTTTCACCTGAACAGGCCTAGATGATTTTACAGCTTTCAGGGGTCAATAACACCCTTCTGGCTCTGGAATCCAATCCAAAGAAGAGATCTATTTGCTGGAAATCTCACTGTTTTCGTAATTTGTTCTTAGCTGTGATATCAATGTGTCCTGTATTTTAACTGAGTCCAGCTCCCACTTAAGTGGTTGTGAGGAGACAGCTAGTTTTTCCACCAAGCCTGCCCACTGGGGCAGTTGAGCTGTCATGCAGCGCTGAGTGTTTTATTCATGTGCCTAAAATGTGGATTTTCAGAAGAATTTGCCTCCTGGGGCAGGCATAAAAATACAGCCCTTTATCCTGCAGCAGTGGCCTTTTTGAAGTGTAGCCTTGTACCTTCCTGTCTCTGCTTCCTTGCCTCTCTCTAGCTTTTTTATTTGAGTTGGAATCTTTGCCTCTTTTTTTTTTTTTTTTTTTTTTTTTTTTTTTTTTTTCCTGCAGCGGGAATTATTCCAGAGAGGTGGATTATGCTTCCGTGTCGTGGAGGCAGCCAGCGCTTTGAAGGGACCTGATCTCAGGCTGCCTCCAGGAAAGCAAGCGGGGTCTTTGGTGTCTGTGGCCGTGTACCCCTCACCTCCCCAACACTGCTCCTTGCTGCCAAGGAGAGCTTTTCTATTTTTGGCTGGAATTATGTAGGAATCACCTTCCTTTTGTGCTGCAGCTGATTAAGATCTCCCATTAGTTTTACCTTCTGACTTCTGACGCCAGCACCTCATGCAAAACCCTTTACTAATGAGAACAGTTTAGCAAGTCGGTCAGTGAAGTGTTACATTCGTGCCATAAACTGAGGCCTCTGTGCCTCATTAGCCACCTCTCTAAAACCATGGCTGGGCAATGGGA